GCGGGGGGGGGGGGGTGGGGGGGGGGGGGGGGGGGGGAACACTCACGCGGGTTATTTCCAGCCTAGTTTGTCGGGATCCAAGACCCTGATCGTCCGAATATTTCTGTCTTCCCTAAGGATTCAGCATCGTGTTATGTTGGTACGCATTGTGTTTTCCTGAAATAGCATTCTGTGACGCTTAGGCAATTTAAAATTATTTTCATGGTGCTTGTAACCCATCTTTGATGAAGGGAACTGGACCATCATTCTGCACCGATGAGGACTCCAATGGACTCGCAAAAAAATGCATGCTAACGACTCCCAATCGAGGCGAAACGTCCTTGCACACTAATTTCGAAGAGAAAGACGGAAACTTCGTAACCAACGGGGGCATGGAAACTCGGGGCTACAAGGAGCCTGTGAATCGGTTGCGGGGAAACGGTTCCGTAGAGAAAAGAACCAGACGATGGGGGACGATCGAGAAGGCAGAGTCCCCGGCGAGGAGCCGGCCGAGCCGCCGACATCGGCTAAGGTCACGTTCGCTTTCACCTGGATCATCGAGAGCTTCTCCTCCTGCGGGAAGGAGGTGGGGGATGCCGTTCGCAGCCCGCCGTTCGCGACGGGGGAGGACGGGAAGGTCGTGTGGGACGCGATCCTCTATCCTCTGGGGATGGACGAAGGTTCTCGGGGGTGCGTGTCCTTGTTCCTGAACCTCGTGTCGACGGAGGACGTGGAGCTCACGGCGAGGCCGCAGCTGTCGGTGCTGGACAGGCGAGGTTGGAAGGGTGGGGTGTCGAGGTGCAGCGGGGCGGCGTGGCGGTTCTGGTCCGGGAGGTCGTGGGGGTTCGCGAGGTTCGTCGAGAGGGAGGTGCTGTTCGACAGGTACGACGACCTGGTGCACGACGACAGACTGGCGGTTCTGTGCGAGATCGTTCCGGAGTCGCCGTGCGTTCCGGTCCCGCCGTGTTCGTTGGGGAGGGACCTCGGGGTGCTGCTCGACCGGGGTCGCTTCTCGGACGTTCGACTCGTGGCGGGAGGGAAGGAAATCCCGGCCCACAAGGTCATCTTGAGCTCTCAGAGCCCCGTCCTGGCGGAACTCGTCTCGAAGGAGAAGAACGGAAGGGTGGAGCTGGAGGGGATCGAGTCGGAGGTCCTCGAAGACGTCGTCCGCTTCATCTACACGTGGGAGTGCAAGGGCTTGGACGGATCGGCCGACGAGCTCCTCGTGGCGGGGGCCCGGTTCCAGCTGCCGCGACTCGTGGAAGCGGCCGTCGGGGCCATCCCCAGGATGATCGCGGTGGGGAACGCGGCTCGGCTCCTCTTGCTCGCGGATGCGTACGCCGTGGAGGGGCTCAAGAGGGAGGTCATCGAGTTCATTCGGGAGCACGCGGAGGGGGTGGTCGGCACGGAGCCCTGGAAGGAGATCGTGCGGACGCGCGGGGATCTGCTAGAGGCGGTCTTCGTCCAGATCGCTCAGCCGCTTTCCAAGCGCTTCTGTCGACGATGAATCTTTTTCTGACGCGGTTCGAGCGCGGGGTGTGAGAATAAAATCTCAAAGATGCGAAACGTATGCGTGAATCATATTTTAATATGGCGATGTCCTATTCTGGGACTCTCCACGTTCCCCTTAAGACGATCCTTAAGAAAGATTGCGCGGATCGAGAAGCCTCGAGTCGCATCCTATGCTTGCTTTTTCGGTCGTTAGGAACTTGTAGACAGGTTACAAATACGAATCATAAGCATCCACTTCGTCCCTTCTTCACGGATCGTTGCGACGTGACGTTTCGGTCTTCCTTGCTGGAATTTATTGCGAAGCGTTCCGATGTGAAAAAAAATGCGGCACGAGGCTCTCCTTTGCCGACTCGCGTTAGCTCGCCGACGTTTCCTCGACGGGTCGATTTAAAATTCTTGGACGATTTCGGCCGCAAATCGGTCGGAACGAAAGAAATTCTCGAAAGAAGACTCGATGGAGTCCGTTCCTCTTCTTAGCGGTTCACTGCCCGGAGATCCCAGAGCAGCCGGGCCTGCAGATCTCGACCCGCAACACGCAGATGAAGACCCGGGTCCTCTTTTCGTGCCTGAACGGGACCCTCATCGGCGCGGAAGAGATGGAGTGCCTCCCCTCCGGGAATTGGTCCGACCCGATCCCCACCTGCGAGAGTGAGTTGCGCCCATTTGATAGCGATTAGAGTAAGTAATAAGAGTCCACGCGTCCGATCTCCCCCTTCGCCAGACGTCGAGTGCGGGAGCCAACCGAACGTGACGGACTCCAAGGTCCGCGTGACGGTGAGGAGCCGCCAGGTCGGCGGGACGGCGGAATTCCGCTGCCCCGAAGGCTTCGGGCTCCAGGGACCTCGCACCGCCACCTGCTCCCCCGACGGGGAATGGACGAAGCCCCTCCCCACCTGCGAAGGTACGTCCTCTTTCCCCCTTCCTCTTCCACGGATCGGTGATCGCGGGGAACGATTCGCGCGAGACGTCACCATCGATCGTAACCCTTCGTTCTAACGTACCATACAAAACGTTACCCCCTCGTTCGTCCGTATTTCACATCTTTTTCCCCTAATCTTTACCTGAAGGTTCTTCTGACAGGTTGAGAGACGGGGGAAAAACCGATTTTTTTATCTCAGTTTCACTGTCCCAATTTTATCTCAGCGGAAAATTTTTTGAAAAAATTTTGTAAGTATTAGAATCGGCCGAGGAGCGAGGCGGTTTGCTTCCGCATCGGACCGAATCGTGCCTGGCGGTTCCTGTCGTGCCGTTTCATACCTGTAACCGGAAGCCGGCAGGTGTCACTCTCAGGACTACTTTACTGAGAACGAATTTATTATTTTTTAAAACATGAAATAACAACGTTGGCAGCGGTAACTAACGTTAATGGTGATGAAACAGTAACATACCAGGACGACATTACCTAGTTATCGGCGGTGAGGTTTCGTTACCGGGTGGAAACTTTATACCATGGTGGTATTCTTTCTTTACACGGGTTCACCAGGAGGAGGGCTAAAATCAGGACTAAAATTGAGGAGGGAAAAAAAATCTCTGTTATCTATGCCGTTCTTCTCTTTTTTTTTCCTGCTATTTTGACGTGACGCGTGCAGAGGTGGCGTGTCAGCCGCCTCCTGCCCCCGAGAACAGCCACTTCGAGCCGAAGGAAGGTCCTTTCAAGGGGGGAGATGTCCTTCATTTCCTCTGTCATAAAGGCTTCATGCCGGAAGGTCAACCGATCATCGTGTGTCAAGAGGATGGCACCTGGTCCAAGGAACCCCCAAAATGTGAGCACCGAAATGGGGCTTTTTTACGTCACAGTATTTGTCTATCTACAGGGTATGTAAAAAAAAAAATAACCAAATGACTTTTAACCTCGACTCCCAATGGAGCTATTTTCGTGAAACCTTCTCTGTGCATAGATGGGCATGCTTCCTACCGATTTACGCAATTTCATCCGAATATCCGGATTCTACCAGCAAATCCTATCAGCAAATATTGAAAAAGTTAGACCCTGATAATGAGCCAAAGCTTATGAGCCTGATAATGAACCAAAGCTAATGAGCCTGATAATGAGCCTTCTGGTAGTGGAGTGGAGGAAACAGATGAATCAAGGATGAGTGTCAATCCAGAAGAGTTTTCTCAAAGCTTATCAAAATTCCCCTTGGTTTTCTTGGTTGTCCACTTCGGCTGTCAGATTGGTCACAGAATATAATTTGTTACCTTGATGTGAAGTAATGGATTTTGACAACCTACAAGGTTGTCAAAATCAAAAATGTCGTCAAAAATGTTGACTTTCAAATAAATGAAATCCACAGCACATTTTGCGACGTATGACTGAAAAACTCACGAGATACGCTCGAAGCCGTTGGTCTTCCTAGGCATTTCTTGCTCAGGTTAAAGCAAACCGAGGGAAATATTGAATGAAACGTGTGGAAAGCCTCTGGATATTGACCCTCGTTTAATTAATCTGCTTTTCGTTTGGAACGAAAACCGAATGAAAAAAAAAACACGACCAACCAAAAAGAATGAATTCGAATGAAAGAGGAGTTCGACATGGTCTCGATGACTAAGTGTGACATCGCGGAATCGTGCAGTCCACTCCGCTTCCGGCAGGAGTTCTTTCCCCATTCTCAACGTCTGACTCCTTTTCAATAACTGCTGAAGGTATCGCTTTGGCCCAACAAATTCGGATGTTTTGAGAATCAGTTGGAAACATATTCGTGAATGCAAAGTAAACGTTTCGAGACAACACTTGCATTGGGAGTCGAGATAGGTATCGGGGTAAAATTAATCGGTCTTCTTTCTTGCCATACCCTGTGTATATTGATGAATTTTCATATCCACGACCGCTTTCAACGATCGCATGTGAAGACGGCGTTTACGCTGTTTCAGGCGTTCGGTCGTGCGGGTACCTGGGGACTCTCATCGGAGGCTCCATGTCCGTGGTGAAGCACTACTACACGGTGGGGGAGACGGTGTCCTTCGAGTGCGAGGCGGGGAGGGTGTTGTCCGGACCGGCACAGGTCAGGTGCCTGGAGAACGGGAAGTGGTCCGGGGGGCTGCCCATGTGCACGAAGACCAAGTGAGGATCGCGCAGCACTGCCTCTCGAGAGACCGAGTGGGGGATTCGCGCAGCACTGCCTTTCGACTGCCTTATACCGTGGTGGTGGGGAGAGGACGTGGGCAGGTGCGCGGGGTCCGTCGAGGTGCTGCACCCGCGAGTTGTGTCGTCTGCGAGAGGAAGCCCGTACCGGTGACTCTGACGTCGTCGTGTGATACGAACGCGAAACGGAGTTTTCCTTCCATGTATGAGGTACTTTGAGAGTAGCGCACGAGCACATACACACACACACACACCACTTTCTTCAAGCATGGCTGATAACGCTTACTACTGTGTGCCTGTGGACGACTCCGTCGAGCGTCTCGGAATCGGCTTGGGTCTACCCCTCACTCTGACGTGACCGCTTTTTCTGCCTCAGTTTCGCTTGTGGGAGACGTGGGGGGCAAGAATAGATTCCGCTTCACGCATGTTGTGCGTTCAGAGATTTTTTTCTTCTTCTCATTTCTCCTAAATTAATGAAGCGAGAAGGAAAAAAATGAATGAAAAGAAGCCGTAGAATCTTGGCGTCGGAGAAAAAAAAAATCTAAAAGAAAAATGTTGTAAAGGGCTACATTCTGGATCGAAGCGGAAAAATCGTCCCACGACAGGAGCGAAAGGGAATCGAAAGAACTTGTGGGCATCCCTCCGAGTTCACCTTCTTTCACGTGCACTGCCTTCATCTCCTGCACTTTTGGCTTCGGTGGTGTGCGACCGACTCGGTCGGACGTGAGCCCCATCGGTCGCTTCTCTCGGAGCGGCCCGCCCGCTTGCACCCGTTCGAATTGGCTGCCGCGGATGGAAAAATCCCGATCCAGTTTGGACTAGTTTCTTTTTGTTGGTTTTTGTTTTCGTCGTCTTCGTGACTCTACTGGGGACCTCCTGCGTTTCACCTGCGTTTTTCCTCCGGCAACTCCGGAGAACACCTATCGAGAGGGGTGAGACTCGGATGCCAGCCGAGATGGCGTTCGGAAAGCTTCGGACGCTTCTCTTGTTTTTCGACCGCAGAAATTGTTTTCCACCTTTTCCGGTCTCCTGGCGTCGGTTTCGCCCGATCGAAATGCGCCACTTCTTGGATCGCGGGACTGCGATGACTGGCGAGAAAGATTTTCCATGTCGATCGCTCTCATGTTTCCGGAAAACGTGTCGTCGTGTCATTCTCTCGATCGGGCATTCGCTCTCGATCTGCACGATCGGCGACCCGATGGACAACGCAACAGTCGGAAACGACCTCGTCCCCAGTCTTGGAGTTCCCGGACTCCCCTCCCCCCCTCCCCCCCTCCCCCCGGGAGCTCTTAGAGCCCACCATCCGCTTTCACCGCACCTTCTCCCAACGGAAGAGCGAGAGATTCGACCCGACAGACCCTGGAAAGACTCCAAGGTGAAACGCGCCCTTTCCTCCCCTTTCGATGACACCCCTGCAGATCCCACGACCTTCGCTGATCTCTCGTCTGTCACTCTGCGTTGTCACCGAGAACTCTCGAGAGACGAGGCCCCCACCATCGACATCTTGCGATGGCGTGCATCATCTCTCACCCATCTGCCGAAAATGGGAGGGGGAAAATCACTGAACTTGTGCGAAATCTACAACGATAGTCGAGTGGTACTCGTGGTACCTAAGTAGGTGAGTCGCGGGACTCCAACTCGAAAGTCGCCGATCGATATTGTTATTGTTATTATAATATTACTTTTTTTTTTAAGGGGGCTTGAGCGTATTAACGTCTCCTTGGTCGGCCACCATCTTAGTGATGTGACGCCGGGAAGATAATTTTTCTTTCCCCCATTCTTTGTGCAGAGGGATTTCAATGCCAGAAACACGGGAGATGCGTTTCAGAAATTGACAAGTAACCGCCGGTTATCGCACCCGTCTTCCTTGGAAGTTCAAAAGTTTTTTTTTATATTTTTTTCCCATCCATATCGGATACGGTGACTGATACCACGAGACTCGGCTTACCGCGGTTTGGAGAAACCTTGTCGATTTCAAAATTGTCTCTCTTCAAATGCACTTTCTTCAGTAATAAAATTTGTTTGAAGCAAAACCAAGGCACAGAGATGTTATTCCTCGTGTACGGTCGATGAACTCGACTGGGATCCAGTGGGACAAGATATAACAGAACATATCACATTAGGAAGCTAAACTTCTCCTACACCTGTACTTCTGAATTCCCTACTTCAGCATTTAATAATTCACCGAGTCTTATATTGCAATCAAAACGTAATGATTCCAAGCTTTCCTAGTATCTATTGATATTTATAAATTGCACGTTAAAAAGAGGAAAAACGAGAATGAAGACACTTTTGCTAATTATGAAGGCAAGCACTTCATTGTATTTTTAGGGTTTAGGGAACCGGGATACCACCTAGTGGGGACTCTTAGTACTGCATCCATGGGAATGCCACCTACAGAACAGGAAGAGATCTGGTGGCAGTCCACCTATAATAGATAGCGGGCCAGCCAGGAGGAAATTTCCCCCTTGCCGGCACGTTCCCGCAGAAATCCGGCAGTGTAGTGCCTGGGCCACTTATGGACTACCATTACTACTTCTGTGCTACTTGGGGTGTCCGCTTCAGCTGTCAGATTTGTCGCAGAATATCATTTCTTACTCTGATTTGAGGCCAGGGATTTTGATGTTGACTTTCAAATAAATGAAGGCATGCTTCATCCTTAGCACATTTTGTGACATATGACTTGTGCAATCATGAGTTACGCTCGAAGTCGTTGGTCTTTCTTGCCATACTTTGAAGCAAAACCAAGGCAGAGAGGCGTTACTCCTAATTTAAGGTCGATGAACTCGACTGGGACCCAGTAGGACAAGTTCTTGAAAAAAAAAATCTTTTTTTGTTCCTGACCGGGAATCTCTAGTTCAATCTGAAAAAATCTCAGATAGGAACTCTGGAAACCCGTGAAATGCATGGCGCAAATGGATCTACGCGAATTTCCTGCATCAGCAACGCCGCAGGCGGTAACCGTGTGTGCCAGAATCTGTCGCCATTTCGCCAGGTCGCTTTTCCTAAGATGGTTCTCGTAGTTTTTCTCATACGACGAGTGCAGCACGTCGAGGGGGAACGAGCGCTAAGAAATGAAGTTACAGATGAACACTTTGAGCCCTGCAGCCATCACATGACGTCCTGTGCCCGTAGCGCATTCAAATCTCCACCCCTCAAAGCGTTAATATTTCACGATGAAAAATGCATTCGTGTCCTTGTGCCCTTTGCAGGGAGAACCCACTGCCTCTAGACGCTAAACTCCTTCGCGTCCCGCTCCCGATCGCGGAGGCGATTGGCGATTGGTGTCGATGGAGCGCGGACCCGAAGAGGAATGAATGAATTGCGTTTTTCTCAGCTCGTCGGTGCTCTTTTTGCACCGATCCCTGCTCGCCAATCGCGTGACGCATTGGAGCGTTGTTCCTGTTCTTTCTGCTAGATGTCTCTTCTTATCAGAACAAAAGAGAGAGAGAGAGAGAGATGTTCATCTTCCGACCGTTCTGTCCGTCTCGCACCTTCATCGTCCGGCGATGACGAAAGAAGTTGGGCTGGCAGAATCAATCGACAGAATCTTCCATTCGCGTTTTCATTGCAATGTAAAAAAAAAAAAGCAATGGAACTTTTAACTGACCCTTTAATATTTCCCCGAGCGTCGGTGTTCCTCCGTGAGGAGAAAAACGTCCCGGGGGAAGGGAGGGGAGGGGGTGGGGGCGGGGATCAGGGGTGCTTCCTCTCCTGCTGCTTCCTGATGGCTCGCCAGTGGAGATACTTGAAGACGTTCGTCGAAGACTCTGGGGGAAGCCTGGTTCTCCTTCCGACGGTCGCTCACCTCGAGGGGGGATGGCGACGGCGCCGGCACGGGTCGGTGGGGGTCGTCTCGAATTCCATGCGTGTTCCGCCTTATGTTGGGTGGAATTGATCCCTATCGATTGCTCGGCGTGTCGCGCGGGACCTTTCCCGGATGACGACATCAACGTCTTGAAAAAATAACGTCTCGACTGCAAGGAAAAAACGTGCTTGGGTCCGCTCCGATCGGGTCTGCCTCGATGTACGCGATCCCATTAAAAACAGTTAAATATCATGACATGCTTTAATTAGGGTGATTGCGATGCAAGCCTTGAATGTTTGGAAGGAACTCGATTAAGATTCAATTTATAGAACCTGAAATGACTCTTATTATTCGTATTAATTAATGCCCCTGCAAATAAGTAAAAAAAAATAGTGACCCAATCACTGCGATAATGAAACAAGAGCAAGAAATAGGTTCATACGTGGAAAAAGTCAGTGCCAAAAAGAGAACTAAGGTTTCGTTGCGAATATTTAAATTCCGAATTTACCCACAGCCTCTGTGGCCCCAACGATCGCGCATCGTGTTGGATCTCGACCTCGTGCCACCCAGAGCCGCCAGTTCGCCTCCACCAATCGCAGCTGTCGACCTCCGTCGCCGACCGAGGGAAAGTGAGAATGGCGCCCAGCAGGGTGTCTGAACTCGCTCGATGCCACGCGTCCTCCGCTCCTCCCAACCTCCAACCTCCACCTACCTGCCGCATCCTCCTCCCGCCTCCCTCCCGGACTTCCGGACTGGGCTTGCAACCGCCTTGGAATTCTTCGAGTGTTGCTCATACCGAGAGAAGCTCGAGAATGTCTCATGCGTTCCTCACTCTCGAAAAAGAAAAAGTCACGTATTGCGTAGGGGATGAGAATGAAAGACTGGGATTCAAAGAATGCCTTTAGACCATAAACTGCTGAGTTTTTTTTTAAGCGGCACCCCAAAGGCGTGCCGCTTAAAAATTATTTCAGGCTGATCGGTACTAATTTGAATCATTCACGTTCCCCTAATTAGCGAAGATAATGAATTGATGTCAGTTGAACGCCTGATCGACTACTTTACTCAAACCGCATCATCTACTCGTAGTAAGAATGGTACTTCCTCGAGGTGGCGGACATATATCCACGGCAGTGAAAGGGTTAAAGAATGAAAAGCTTGGGGAGAAGAATCGTGACATTCGGTTCTCGATTGTCCTTTTTTTCCCACGGATTTCAAGGTGAGATACAAAACTGGGACGGAATTTTGAAGAGCATCTAAAAGTAGGGCTTCAGCGCCCTGCTCTCTTTTCCTCGTCCTCGGAGGAAATTCAAGCGCGAAAACATTTTTCGCGCCTCAGGGCTCTGAAAGTTCTTCACGCGGATGGGTGCGGTTTATTACCCACGCGATTTATTAATTATTTATTAACGCCTGGCTTCCCGATTCAAGGATTCGATGGCCACTGATCACGCAGTTGCGAAACAGCAACATAAAAATAAATGAATTACTTACAAAGCATTTTATTGTAATCTCAAATTTGGTTTCATGGCAATGACATGTAAAAATGAACCGATGAAAAAATGGCCCTGAAACAATGGGGAGAACGGTTGCGACAGACCTGATTTTTTTGTTGTTCAATATTATAAAATTTCTCCTCATAAAAATCTTTTTCCAGCCAAACAAATTTCAGCAGCACGACAATTTCCCAGCCTACAAGTTTTCCCACGGCGCAAAACCCGCACCCGCATTCCACGGCGATGCCTCAGCCCGTGGGCGACTTGGCGACGCCGTTCGCCCTCTCCCCGTCGGTCCCCGCCTCGACCCCCGATTCGTCCGCGAGAGGCGACAGTTCTTGGCCCTCGGCGGCCCCCTTGCCCCGGAGGTGCCTGGCCCTGACGACGGCCATCGCGCCGTGGATGAGGGTCCCGAACACCATGCTCAGCCCGATGAACAGGGCGATGACCATCCACTGGTGGAACGTTGCGTCGCCGGCTCCGTCCGGAAGCGGAGGTTCCCCGCTCGCCCGGGAGACCTCCTTCCGCGGAGGTGGGACGGGGCCGCAGACGGTTCCGGACCACGCCGTCCTCTCGGGGCACCCGCACCGCCCGTCGTCTATGCAATGCAGACCGAAGGTTTCCTTCGCGCATTCGTCGTCCCGCTCGCACCGCTTCCCGAAGTGCGACGCCGCCAGACGGGAGAAGGAGCAGGACCATTTCTTCAGGGTCCCGTTCACACGCACCTCGACCGGACAGGCACAAGTCATCGTCGCCATGTCGCAGTAGGCCAAGTTTCCGTACTCGAGACACTGATCCGCGTGTCGACACCCCTCCGGTTTCGACCACCTCGGTCGACACTCCCTCAACACCCCGTCCACCTCCACGGGCTCGAATTCCCACCGACAACGGCACCTCCCATCGAAACACACGGACTCGCCGACCGCGCACTCCTCGTCCCTGGAACACTTGGTCCTCACGCACACCCCCCAGGCTCCCGCCCGATATCCCCCCCGACACGTACACTCCCCCTCCGGACCGCACCTCAGCGACATCGACCTCCGTCCATACCAGCAATGCCGCTCCTCGAGACACGGCGATCCCACCCTCGGGAACCCATCCACACACACTCCATCCCACTTTTTCCCCCTCCCACACCGACAGGCTCCTCCAATGCACTTGAGTCCCGTTCGGAACGGGTTGCAGTCGGCGTGTCTCTCGCACCCGTCCCCTAGCATCTCACTTTCTGACACCTCACTTCCTGGCACCTCGCTCCCCGATGCTTCACTTCCTAGCACCTCGCCTCCCGGCACCTCGGTTCCCGGCACCTCGTTTCCCGGCCCCTCGCTTCCTGGCACCTCGCGCCCCCAGCAGGAAGCGTGCAGGCACAGACACAAGAGGATGAGGTACTTCTCCGGCATCTCACTCCATATTGAGAAACCAACCACGAACTGTCTTCCACGCGATCATGCGACCCGGTTTCCGAGATCCCGGACGTTTCTGTCAAACTCTCCGCCTTCCCCATGATGACTCCACACTTTCCTCCTCTGGATTCCTTCCGTCATCGCAGCAGAAAAGCTTCCCGTCCTGGTGGCCTGCTCGCCATCGCATGGAGTGTTCGTATTCACACCGGTGAAGGCCATCCGATGCGATTGTGTTCCGATGTAGCGGGCTTCTCGGAAGCGATACGGGCGAAAAGAATTCTAACGGCATCTATCACGCACTGTCACGCCCTGCGAAGGCAACACAGGCGCGTGCGGTCCGTTCTCGTACACCCTTCTCGACCGGTCGATCCGGGGAAAAGGAGAGAGGGAGAGAGAGATAATAAAAAAAAAACACTGGGATTAAAAAAAGAAACTTCTAGTATGACAGCTTCGCAGTGGATTCAAGCAGCGCGGCCTCGACCGCCCCCGCGCCCTTCGACGGTCGCCTCTTCTGTCGCAGCTCCTCCTGACTCTCCTCCCACTTTCGCCTGTAGGCGGATGCGTTGGCCTCGTGCGCCCTCGCCTCCGCCGCCAGGATGCGCGTCTCTCGCGCCTTCTGCTTCAGGGTCAGGCTCATCTGGGGGGAAGGGGGGAATCTCTCAACGCATTTCCGAGGCATCCTTGCGCGGCAACGCATTTCACAGTTACGACTGGCATTTAGGACGATGAGATCCTTGGTTTACCGCTTGCGTAAATACCTCTACCTTGGAATTCTGTCGAGCGAAGTGTTGAGTGTCGGTTGGACCGAGTCGTGATGGTTCCAAGAGTCAAGAGAGTTAGTGATATCAAGAGGCGATTTCGCCCATTTCAAACCCTCTTTAAGCTAAATATTTTTGTATTTTTGTTTTGTTCCAAGAATTTTTACCTTCGAAGAGATGCAGGGTTGTAGGCGTGGGAACGGCGTAGAAGCGTTCAGAACGTTGGACGTTCTACCTCGCAAAAAGAGAGGGCTGTCGGTGCTACATATGTGGAACTTGGAGAATAACTTATTATTTTTTATCGCAGGAAAAAATTTTCTTAAATGTATTCATCGAACTTTATTGTCTCCGAGTTTTTTTTTCGATCGAGAGTTCTTCAGATTTTAACGAGTAATTTCAACTTTTCCACGCATCAGGCTGCAGCCGTACACCAAAATGCCACCAGTCATTCCCCGGTGATTCGACAGTGAATCAACGGCGGTTCACCTTCGATTCAACATTTGTCTACTTTGAGGGAACCTTTTCCGGTGCGAACAAACGAACGACACGGCAACGTCATTCTACGCGCGAAAATTAATTCCTGTCTTTTTTTTAACTTTTTTTTATTTTAAAATCTGGTTTCGTATCCTGGGCAAGGCGCATGTTGGGACCGACCAGCCCCCCCCCGGGACCAACCGAGGTGCCGAGAGCGAAGTCGACAGCAACAGACACCCAGGCACATTACAGGAGAAAGAAATGTAAGCTAATCGAGATGGTCGAGCCGAGTCCAAACCATTGCAGCAGGAGAAATTTATGAAAGCGAGCGACAGCTTTAGGTCATTAAGGAGGCCTAATGGGCTGACAAGTCGTAGTTGTCTCGTCGGGACGCCTACGACTTGTCCTCCTCCTCCTTCTCCTCCTCCTCCTTCTCCTCCTCCCCCTCGTCCTCCTTCTCCTCCTCCTCCTCCTTTTCCTTCTCGTCCGTTAGGGATCGAGATCGGTAAGTAGTGGGCTGGTGGACACGAGAGAGCTTTCTTCAATCGTCTCTTAATTCTTTTTCAGCAACTAAGTCGGATACCCATTGCTCCTCAATGTTTTATGCATCGCTGTTGAGATTAATTCCTTTCCGTTCGGGTTATTCAGCAGAACCCACTTCGATCTTGAAAAAATGTGGAGCAGTGGGTAGCGATATTCCCTCGTTCCCGAAATGAATCACAGTCGAGATCAATGCCGAGGCCAGACTGAGGCCATATGTCGATTCTTCTCCGTAATAGCTATCTTCTGCTTTTCGTCTTCTTTTCTTCCTTTCGAGGTCTCCATAGGGGACGATGATATTTCCGGATCGAAGTTGGCTCTCTCTCGTACAAACACGGGCTCGGATTGCAGCAAAAATAGTTCATGTCCCAGCACATTGGCGCCTCTCCTCGCCGGTCTCTCTTCGTCATCGAGTGCCTAAGGAAGTGGCACGACGGGGCACGACGCTTCGGACACGAATCTCCACACCGGGGAAGGCCTCTTTCAGCCTGACGGGAGTCACGCCGATCGTGTCATCGTCGTGCCGTTTTCGTACTGCTGTTCCGGTAGAAACTACCTCCTTCTACGGTGAAAAATTGCTGGGATAGAAATTCCTGAGAAGGGTCTCGCTGCTCTGGAAGTTGCTCGGTGGGATCGTGCCTCCCACCCCCCACCCCCACCCCCACCCCCGACGAGAATCCTAGGACTCGTCGGCCCGTTAGGTCCTTCTTCGCTATCGCTCGCTTTCTTAAATTGCTCTTCGTCGTATTGAGATAGGTTGGGCTCGCGCTGACCGGTGGTTCGTCTCGATCGGCTCGAGTTTCTCTTACATGCAAAAATGGCGCGAGAAAGCGCCGATCCACCAACAATCCCAACATGGGCCTAAGTCATGATGCTGCGCGCGAGTAGCTCGACGACCGCATGCATTATCACCATCAGAGATTCGCGAGATACGATTCCGAAGCTGGTCAGAACTCGACTCCTAAATGGAAGTCCCTTGGTCGGCGAAAAATCGAAGTTTTTTTTGGTTACGCTCGATCGGTTGTTGGTTCCGTCCAGCTTCACTCCTTTCCCTACCGGCTCTTCCGGCTCATCTCTGTCCTCTGAAGCCTTTCTCGACACTGATGGTTCGAGCAGGACCAAGATGAGGATTCTGCCATTCTTTCGGATCTCAAAGGCTCCTTTCCGTTCGTTCTCTTTTTAAATGTGTTGCCTTCCAATTAGGAGTCGAGTACTTTGGCTTACCAGCTTCGGGATCGCATCTCTCTCTCTCTCTCTACAGGATGATCATAATGAAATTTCCCACATTTCATGCGCAATATCTCTGAAATGCATCGACATAGAATGGTGGCGCCGCACACGGTCGGTACAAGGACCGAGGGAAATTGAATGCGACGATCGTCACAAGTCGCTCTGTTTTGTCCCCGGAGCGATATCAGATGTTCAATATACAGATCACCGGTTTCCAGAATGTCTCTCATACGTGTGACAGCCATGACGGCCATGGCAGCCACGACGGTCATGACGGTCATGACAGCCATGACGGCTGCCACTCCCCGCACATTCCAATCCTTTCGGTAACGGAAGTGAACGGAAGTGACGGAAGTTACTCGGTCCACGCGCGATTTCAGGCGCCATTACGACCGGAAATCTGCCCGGAAATCCCCGGTCTGGCGAACGGGGAAGATGACATGGAAAGTGACGGGATGCGATCCTGTGACTCCAAACCTGGACTTTCTGTCCCACACCACGGCGCAAGTGGATCCATGAAACTTTTAGCACGGATCGTGTTGACCGTGATAGAAAAGTCAAAAAATCGATTTCGCGAGGAAAATTGGAGATGCCGCCTGCCCGTGTCAGAGTGACAGAGCGCGTTATCGCGGTTTATCTATGAGGAAGGAAGCGGATCCTGATGAAATTCTCGGTAGACTTGCAGATAAGTGTGGCGAATCTCGCCCCATCATGGTGATGCGTAAAGGAATGTAGTTTACGTTGTAGCGAGGGGAAATTGGCACACGGGCGTGCCAAGTGGTCCCTGCGCGATCACGGCGGATCACGTCGCAGAAAAATTCGGAAAATCGCGGAGCAGTTTAGTTAAACAGGGTGGTGCGGAAACGGAATTCCTCGAGGACCGGAAAATTTCGGAAAGCGTCACGACCGATGGCGTCCGAGAAATCGCCGGTCTGCGTCCTGCAGTGGGTTCGGGGTCGGCCCAAATATTTAGGGCCGACGGTCGTCTGGGCGCCCGGGAGGTGACGATGCGATCGCGTCGATATAGTTGGCTGGTACGTCGCGAAGTGGGCGAGATTTCGCGAACGTGTCTCATTCTATTGGATGAGATGCATCCTATTGGACGAGGGAGTCCGTGTTTCCCTGCGGCAAATTTGGGTTATCATCGCCAAAAATCAGGACTGAATCGACTTGGCATCGGTGTGGAAGGAGCGAAAAATGAAATCTCATGCACTTCCTGAAGCGAAAAGGTTGCCCTCATGAATTCATCGTTAAAATTGATGAAAATTGGTTTCTCCTTGTGCGAACGATTCCATGCCGCCGACACGCCCATCTCGCGAGTGAAGGGCGAGGCATGACGCACCGCTGGAATGCCCTTCTCATGAGTGGAGGCGAGGGACGTGCTCGATCCGATGGAGTCAGCGTTTTCGTGGCTCCGCCAGAAATTTTTATTTCTGCGCCTTTCGTTCGCATTCTCGCCGATCGACCCTTTCGACCGACCTTGTCGTGTTCCCGGTCGGTCATGCGGGACTCGTCGACCTGTGCGAGCCAAATAATTGACGCGATTGCTCGCGTGAGCGGCCGCATCGGTTTTCTCGGGTCTCGCGTTTTTCGCGAGGGAAAGGTTTGTATTTCGCATAAAGGTTTATGCTCGACATAAAGGTTTGTATTTGACATGTTTCGACGAGTCGATTGAACGTTGCATCGCCGTCGGCTCGCCGGTTTTTCGTTCGGGGGCTGGGTCGGCTCGGCTCCAGCGATGTGGCTTATCTGTCGCGTTTTTATGGCTGCTGCCTCGTTGCGGCGTCGGCGGCAGTCCGCGATATCGAACTATTCCCCTCCGAAGCTCGACGTTGAGGCCTTCCTTCTTCGGTTGAGGCCTTCCTTTCTCCTCGAGACCGTCGGTGACACACGAATGCAAACATTTAAAAATGGCTTCTCGGCGCCGAGCGAGAGAAATCCTCGGACTTGGGGCCGATCGCGAGAGAAATGCGGTCGACGCTCCGCGAAACGCGGGACGTCGCGAATAAGGACTGGTCGCACGTCGGCAGTAAGGAAATCGAATCGAACCGACTGGGAAAAACGGAAGACGATATCAAGCTGGATCTCTCCGGAAGCTGGATTAGATCTTACGATGTAAACGGGTGGATTGAACTAGGAACGTGCGATACCTGAGAACATGCGATACCTGGGAACGTACGATACCTGGGAATACTTCTCCTGGAGTCGGTCGGCCCTTTCCAGCCTCTTCATGAGGTCGAGGCAGAGATTCTCGCGTTGATCGAGGAGCCGTTGGTTGTCGTCGCTCCGCCTTGCGCTCTTCACCAGCCGGCGCTGGACGGTCGAGAGCTTGAGGAGGAGTTGCACCTTCGTGGGGTCTCGGCCCTCGAGGTATCGCCAGCGGTGGCAGTTCACGGGGACGGAGAGCTCGGCTTTGGCGCGTTCTAGCGTCGCGGCGTCTCGTCGGAGGGATTCCTCGAGCGAGAGGCGGCGGCGGAGCTTCTCCTCGGTGGAGGCGAGGGAGGCGAGGGCGAGGGATCGCTCGCGTTCCTTGCGGGCGAGTTCCGCGGAGAGGCGGTGGTTCTCCTCGGCGAGGGAGGCACGGTCGGCGTCGAAGCGGGAGATGACGCGTCGGCCCAGAGCGGCATCGCCCTTGGTCAGCTCGAGTTCGTCGCGGCGCTCGACCAGCTGGGCGCGGAGGTCGTCGCGCTCCTTCGCGAGGGTGCGGAGGGACTCGTCCGCCTCGCGGATGCGGGAGTCGGCGTCGTCCAGGCGGCGCTCGAGGGCGGCGTGGGCGTCGACCGAGCGGCGGAGGGCGGCCTCCAGAGCCGCCTTCTCTTCCTTCGCCGCGTTCGCCTGCTCCCTCAGCTTCGAGACGTCTTTCCGCAGCGTCTCGTCGGTGAGGCAGGCGGCTGCAAGGGCCTTGGCGGTCGAGTCTTGCTTCTCGCGCGCTTGGTGGAGCTGGTGAGCGAGGAGCTTCATCTTCCCCGACGTCTGGGCCAGGTTCTCTTCCGCCTCGGAGGCCTTGCGGAGGTACTTGTTCTTCTGGGCCGAGACTTCCGAGAGTCGCAGGTCGCGGTCGTGGAGTCCGGCTTTCAGGTCCTTCGTCGCTCGGCGCTCTTCGGCCAGGCGCGTTTCCAGGGCGTGGATCTCCGCTCGCATCCCCTCGATGGTTTCCTTCAGGGTTTCCCGTTCGCCTCGGATGCGATCTCTCTCTCGGGTGACGCCGGTGACGGATTCCTCCAGGACGTATATCGCTCTCTGGAGCTTGCAGAGTTCTTCGTCTTTCCTGCCGTCTTCTTTCTTCATCAGCTGGATGCTTTTGTCTTTGTCCTCGAGTCCGGACTCGAAGTTGCGGCAGGATTGACGGAGGGTTTCCGTTTCGCGAGTCAGACGTTGAACGGAGTGCCTCTCGCGTTCGACTTGACGCCGGGTGGCGATGAGTTCCCGATGGGCCTCTTTCAGCTGCCACCAGATCCCCTTCCTCTGGGCTTCCGAAGTGGACAATCTGATGCGAGACGTCTGCAGCTGCTTCTTGACGTCCTGTAGTTCCTTGTCGCTCTCTCGGAGGGCGTCACGGAGCGCGGCGATATCCTTTTCCTTCGCGACGACGTCCCGGCTCAGCGCGGACATCGTCTCCTCCAGTTCGCGGATGGACTCGCTCTGGACCCAGTTCGCACGGGACAGCCCGTCCAGCTCCAGCCGGAGGGCCTCCGCTTCCTGCTGGAATCTGGAGGACGCGTCCGCGCTCTGGCGGGCCTCGCTGGCGCGCTCCTGCAGCCCCACCCCCAGGCCCTCCAGCTCGGCTCGGAGCTCGGCCTTCTCCCGCTCCCAGCTCTGGCGCTCGTCCTCTGCCTTGCGTCGGGCCCTCTCCGAGGCTTCCTTGGCGCGCGTCTCTTGGCCCACGCGGTTCTCCATTTCCTGGTCGGGGGAGAGAAAGGGATTGCAGTTTCCGGTCTCGTCTCTGCGTCTCGGGATGGACCAGGGGAACTCGAGCCCATCGTCGTCCCTATCTTCCAGTTCTGGGTAGAAGTTGCTCGAGTTCGTCGCTTGAGATCGGAGATAAACGCGTAAATATTCGACTATTCGCAAAATAATTTTTTTTTGCGGCTTATTGGTTCTATTTTAAGAAGCACTGAAGGAAGATAAGAACAGGAAAGAAAGAAGACATGATTATTTTGCGGAGAGAGGAGAGCCAAATGGGCGATGTCGAGCAAGTCCAAATATGTGTGTCTCCAGGGCAGAAGTAAAAGGAAGATGTCATTGATTTCGTAAAACTGGGTTGCCCTTGAAGACGTGACAAACTAAAAGATGGAATCTGACATTGCAAAAGTTATACCCGGCTCTTGAAATGCTATTCCTCTAGATCCAAAGTAGGGTGAGCGTCGCCCTCCTTTTCTGCAGTGTATTTAAAAAAAAAAGGAGGTCAGCATTCGCGCCAACCTTCGGGTGGCAGGTATTCCAGATGGCCGAATTCGTCGATGTCGATCTGCCATTTTCTGAGCGTGTTTTAATAGGATTTGAGTGAAAAACGCTCGCGAGAAATGGAGGCCGCCCGGCGGAATCTGACCTTCAAGAGTCTTTCGAGCTCGCGTCTCTGGTCCAGCGCGGTTCGCAGCTCCTCCTCGACCGCGCACCTCTCCTCGACTGCAGCCTCCACCGCCTCTTTCAGGATCTTCCCGGACTCCAGCTGTTCTTCCTTCTCCGATTGCCATTCGAGCATCTGGGCCTCCACTTCGGTCAACCTGGAAGACGGAGGTTCCATGGATGGAGGGCTGGATGGATGGAGGGCTGGATGAAAGCGACGCGACTAGAGAGTCATGCGGGCTTCATCTTTTTCAGCTCATTCCTTTGAAGTGGTTTCTCTGTCGATTCTCGCTCGTGGTGTTGTTACGTGGTGTCAAGAAGCCGAGTTTTGCTTTCATCGTGAAACTTCCCGCTTTCGTGCACTGATTCGTTCGCCAGGTGCGTCAGAATTTTCAATGATGGGGAAAAAGAGAGCACCGATTGTTTCCTTACGAAGAAAAGCTTGTAAAGAGGGACTCCTCCCCCCCCCCCCTCTCAGGCTTCTAATTACATCATTGCGACTCCCCCGCGTCGCGGAAACTCGAAAGTCCGACGTCGACTCTCGAGTCCGGTCCGAGGTTCGTCTGGATCCGTGCCGGCGCGCTGCCACGCAGCTTTCCTCGGGGCGGAATCCAAGCGGGGACTGGGGCAAGGGCATTCCGCCAGGAATTAAAAAAAAAGTCTTCTTTTAACGCTCTGATTCCTGCGCGAATCAGGGCGGAATCGTGCATCATCGTGACGCGACCGAATTTCTGAATCGGATTCCGGAAATCCAACGAGCAGGTTTCACGGTTTCCAAGCTATAGATTTATCGATTTTATTCAAATTTTTAATTTTTTTTACTGAGCAACTCGTTCCCTACTTTCGATTGCGTCCTTCTAATTTCACGGTAAAAATACATTACCACAATAGTAACCGTCGGTTTCGAAGCACCGAATGTCTTTGAACCGCTCGAGGGAAAGAAACGCGGACCGTAATTACGCATCACACTGGCAACGCGCAATTCCCCGCGCAGTCGAGCGAAACTCTAGGAGGAAAGCCTCCCACCCCGGCTTCCCCCGCCGGCTGCGACGTCGCACCGGGTCGTCGGGTTCAAACCCGCTTCCTGGTTTTGCCTCTGAGATCCGAGCGAAAACGGGGTTGAAGTGAGATTGCAGGACGTTAATGGCTCTGGTATTTCAATGTTATGCCTTCCAGGACTCTGGGAGAAAATGTATTCGAATCTGTGATATAGAAAAAAAAAATAGAAAATTTTCAAAATGTTAAATTTGAAAATAAATGTCGAAAGTTTTGCTGCGAATGGACTCGATGCTTCTGGCCCATCACTGGGTGGAATACATCTGGTGCAACGGTTTTTCGCAATCGTTCCGTCTTTTATCTGCGGGATTGCGGATGAGGATGGGGAGGCGGGATGGGGAGGGAGGGGAGGCGGGATGGGGAGGGAGGGGAGGCGGGATGGGGAGGGAGGGGAGGCGGGATGAGGGGTGGGGTGGCGGGATGAGGGGTGGAGGGTAGCATCACCGCCTGGGATGACCTCGCTGGTTCTGTGCGAGGTCATAGGGCTCTCTCGGGTCCTTTCTTGGCCTCGAGGAATAGGGTCCAGGGGTGAAATTCCTTTACCGTTTGGAATTATTAAGATGACGACTAAAGTAGGCTATATGGATGCCAGTCGGCGTCACGAGAGAGAGAAGCGGAAACAAACTATGCAGAAAACAGACATCCAGAGACTCTGCCGCTAGCGATCGACGACTTTGTGACTGTACGACATCCAAGCACTTTAACCCTTTCAGGACCATAAGCATTGTGGGACAGCGACCTTAACTTTAATGACGTGTTTAGGGTGAAAATGACGTGTAGATTCCAAAAAAACTTTGTTTGGAGGCTATATCTCCCATAGTTCTCGAGATATAGCGTGGGACAAATATGCCCCACAACAAAAAAAAATACATTTTTTTCGAAAAATAATAAACAAATGAGTGTCGAAATGAGAAAATATGTTACAGTAAGGACATACGAAGGCAAACCCACAGACAATTTTTTTTCGGCTGCATCGGTTTTTCAAAACAAAAAAATCAAAATTCACATTTCCGGACCCGTTTGGAAAAGATAATTTTGCTTAAAAGATAATTTTGTCTGGTGACGACACAAATTCATATATTCACAAAACCTGCCATAATTTTGAAAGTCCATGACATACTGATTCCTTATTCGCAAAAAGCATCGCCCTAGACTAATTCATTCAANCCAGTTGCCCTCGGTCGTCTCTCTCTCTCGGCATCGCCATCTGTATCTCCACCATTCAACCCTACGTTTTCCCGTCTCCTTTTACTCTTTTTTTTTTCATCTCAAATGGATCACCGTTAATCCAAATGAATTTAGACAGAGGAAAATTATTTCCTCGAAGAAGGAACCGAATGGAAAAAAAACTTTCCTTTCCTTTTCTAAAACATTTGAATCATCTCTCAATGTGTGTAATCCAGAGTGTTAATTATGAGTGTTTAATAAACGAGTTTCTTTTTCAAATGCATTTTACTTGTTTAATATATTATTTTAAAAAATTATGGAGGGGGGGTCATATTTTGTCACGTAATTTTTTTTTTTTTTTTGGTCGAAGCTTTTTGCTACGGAGTGCTACAGGGGGGAGGGAGAGGGGTAAAAAAAAGTTTTAAAATCACGTTACGTAATTTGTGAACGGCCCCTATTTAGAGCGGTGGGCCAAGGAAACGGAAAGGGATGGAGGGGTCCGAAGAAACGGACATCCAATGGACGTGTCCAAGGATCATCCTTGGACGAGACATTTCGTCTTCCAGTGGAAGTCCAAGGAGGATATGCAATGGATGTTTGAGTGTCCTTGAGTGCATGTCCAATGGATTTATTTTTGTTCGAGATTGCTACTTCGGTAGCTATTGGCCCTTTAGAGGGGTCTGACCTTAGGTGTGACGGATTTTTCTTTGCCCCGTGTTAGACCTTGGGCCTAACTGCATGGGAAACCGATATTGCACGCTCACGTTGTTAGGTGCAATGAAAATATGGACTGGGTTTCTATCCCTCAAAGATTGAAAAGGTAGTATTGATCGATTTTCAAAATACTATACTTCGTCTGTCGGGTCTTCAGTGTGCTGCCACTGCCTTAACGACATCTTCTATTGCGCATCACAACAATGGGATTCGGATTCTCTTCTGACGAGGTATTACACTTTTTCTCAATGCATGGTTGAATGAAGCCTCCACTGCAATGGTGAGCGTCGAAACTCACAGTGGAGTGTGACGGCATGAATCCGAAAGCTTTGCGTTTATCGGGCGACTCGACTGCATGAGAGATGCAGCGGCTGCAGCGCGTTTCCCGTTGGGGTGTCCAGTCTAGTTATATTTACCATGTCTCTGTCGAGAACAGACGCGGCGGTACATGATGACTCCTGGCGACAGTGCAGGAAAGCACAAGTCAAAACGGGAATGACTCGAGCGGCCTCACGAGGCTGCCTTGCAATTTCAGGACTCGGGAGAACTCCATAACCCATTGCACTCCGCAGCAGAAACCCGTTTTTTTTTTTCCTATTCACTGCAGGTAATAAAAAAAAGACAAAAAATAGTATGGTTCAGAAAAAAATAGAATGTCTCAGGAGCTAATGAATTAAAATAAAAAAATTACTGTTTTATTTAGCAGAATAAGATGTGACTCTCAAACGTAATACTCCTTCAGGGTGTGAAATCTCTTAAAACAGCTTCCGGGGTGAAGGCCAAGGTGTTATATACAACGAAGAGGCGGCGTGCGTACCGCGACACTGGAGCAAAACTGGAAATTCGCGATGTCGCTTGGGGCGCGACAGTGGAGTGCAAAGGGTCGAGGTACCAGCCTCCTAGCACCTCGCGGGTTCCCTCCCAAGGCTTTCAGCTGACCGGGGATGGAGGTGGGGGGGGGGGCGGTCTGGTTGCTTTTGCGAGTGGCTGCATCGCATGCAACTGTGTTTTGCTATGGGGCTCCTTAAGAGTTCGTGGAGGGATATAAGATTACGTTCCATTATGCAGTAATGAAAAAAAATTGAGCCACCCTTGAAGATTGTGTGAATGTGATAGTGCGATTGGATTACTTTAACCATCTATCTAATATACCAAACCAACTTGATTCTGAGCCCATGTATAAGGAAAAGAAAGCCTCCTCTATGGATGGGATGAGCAGGGTTGAACATTCCCCCTCAAGGAGTTTTGTTCAGACAGGGGAGGGAGAAGAAGCCAGACAGTGAACCCAATGTCCCTCTTCCGCAGCATGGGAAGAACGAACGACTTCATTCAGAATTGACTCGCTTCGTTGACTTGTCCGTAACAAAATGTTGGAACAAGTTTCCTGTTTGACATGAATAAAAGGGCATTATCCAAGGCACACTGCCTCCAAGATGGCACATCAAATGGAGAGAGACGTCAAGCGGAACCTCCTCATTAACGCCAGGACGCAAGGAAATTTTTGTGATTTTCTCATACGTTGGTATGTACGAGTTCTATCTTAACTTTCTGTTAGGATGCTGAAGTTTGTTCGCTATTTGGCTTTTTCCTTTTTCACTTTTGGGAGACGTGTACGGATTGTTCTCTTGATTATCCGTTTTCCATACTCCACTGATGCCAACAGGAAACAACGGCAGACGACCTGCAGTGGACGAGGAGATGCTCGATGCCTTGGAGACCCTGATATTGGAAGAGCTAGTATAGGACTTTTTCTTCACTGTCTGGCTTATCTCTCCTTCATTCTTCCCCTGTCTAGACATGAATTCCTCGAGGGGGAATACTCACCCCTGCTCATCCCATCAGTAAAGGAGGCTTTCTCTTCCTTACACATGGGCTCAGAATCAAGTTGGTTTGGTATATACCTGTACAGTATACTAGGTATAGACGATCGTGACTGACTGACGCTAATACTAACCATGTTCTAGAGAAGTTAGAAATCTGAAACTTGGTACACATGTTCCTTTTGGGATGCAGAGTTCAGATAAAATCCGACTTTGGAGGTACATGCCCTGGGGACATCCGTTTTGGGGGGAGATGTTTTCAAATAATTTTTTTTTGTCCACTGAATTGTACAAAAATAGAAATGTGAAACTTGGCACAGCAATAGCTGAGGTAATGGTGAGTTCCGAAAAAATTCTAGTTTTGTGGTGCATACCCCCAGGGCACAGCTTTTTGCTCTGTGTTGGCTTTTCCAAAGATATTTTTGCAGCAGCAAAGAGGAAACGGATAAGTCTGAAACTCGGTATGCACGTATTTCTCCGAGTACTGATATCAGTAAAATTTTTACTTTTAGGTAAAACCCCTGAAGGCACATTTTTTTTGCAAAAGGCGCATTTTCCGGAATCTTTTCTCAAACAATGAAAGAGAGAACTAAAGAAAGTTGAAACTTGGAACAGAGGTACCTGTTCGATTACCTACTTTTCAAATATGACTCCTCAGGGCAGATTATGAAGAGATTTGAAGTTAGGCACGCAAGAAATAATCGGAGTAATTGCTTTGATGAAAATATCGGTTCGTTCTCTCTCGGCACATATTTCGACAGGTGCATATTTTTAATACGTTGTTGTCACTTTGAAAATAAATTAATGAATGAATCAGTAACCTGAACAATGGAGCGCCGAAGGCGCGACCATATCCAGTTTGCTTGCCAAACAAACTCGCTAGTAATTCAAGATCATGACTCTTTATCCGACACTCCGACAATATTTTTTTTTGCTGCAATTTTTTCAGTCAATATGTGGTTGGGAAAAAAAGTAGTACTCTAACTTTCGACCGGCGCCGCAGGAAGTTTTCAACTCGAGGGAGTAATACTTTGAGCTTTGGATAGGGGACGATGAAGTGAAAGGAAATTCATGCTAATCTCATGTTTCGTCAGGCTAGAGTGAACGTCGCTTCTTTTGATGCAAGGAAAGCGCTCGAAGCGAAGAGAAACGACGGATCGTGTGGGAAGGACGCCGAGAGAAGAGCACGCAACGGAAGCAGTGGCCTCCGAGAGTCGCATCCGAATTGAGTCAGCGATGTTCCATAGCAGGATGGAAGTGGATTTTCGCCCCCCCCCCTTTTTTTTTTTAAGCTCGTGTCTGATGTGGGAAGGGAACCGTCAGAGTCGTGCAAGGTGTCGGAATCCCGTGAATTCTAGCTCGTTCGCGGGGAGAAGAAGCGCAGGATTCAACCGTCGAATATCACATTTGAGCAAGTTATGAGCAGGAATCGAGGTGAGAGTCCACTCACCCCTTTATTATTTTTTAATACTTCTTAATAACCATAATTTAACTCAAGCTCTCGGCGTTAAGTTCGTACACTCCAGGGCGTCGCAACGAAAAAATGGCATGGGAAAATCGGAACGGAACAGAAATCGGCTGGATGAAAAAAAGAAAACCGAAGTAATCTTGGGCGAAAAGAACAATTTACCCGGTATAAGTATCATTTTCGATAATGATCGAAACATCTGATAACTGTTTCATCATAATTTAGATAACTGACCACACGCTGCCGTAGGTTTCCCTGTCGTCTGTCGTCAGAGATGGTTCCCAACGAAACTGTCAATAATATGTGCCTCTCGTGTGAACAGTTGCTCTATTGTATATTTCACGCGATATCCAACACGAGGTTCATAATTGATCGAACAAAACAGAAGCGACGACGAATCCAGTTATCTCCGGCCCTTCTTGGCTATCGCAGCCGAAAATCGGACGTCCAGATGGCTTTTGTTCTTCGCCTTCTCGGTTTCGAACAATGCTCGGGTCCGCCTGGCGTATTCTTGTGTGAGCTGTTGTTTCGTCGATCGAGGAAAAAAAAAAAAAGCCTTGCACGAGGATCTGGGACCATCACGACTCTCATTCCATCTTCCTTTTTTTTGCGCAAGAAAGGGTTTCCGTCGGTAACTGCTGTGCCGGGTCTCCGAATAGTCCGGTAAAGTTAGATGTTCTCAATTACGATTTCGGTCTAAGCATGAAAATTCGATCGCGATCGAGTTATGACGATATTTCGATCGTGATCGAAAAGTATACTTAGACAGGGTAATTGAAATGGAAATAATTTAAATAATTTTTTAACATGGAAAATAGGAGTATTTCAACCCGGAGAGACATCGTGACCGTTGAAACCAAGATAGAATGGACAAAATATTCATTCCACGAAACGAGTGACGGAACATTGAATACAGTGACGGAATACAGAGCCAGTGACGGAACGGAAAGGAAGCCGGATGTGCCCGATCCAGGAAACGAATCGCGACCGGATGCGAAAACGATTCGAGAGGGATTCACCTGTAGGTCGCCGCATAGCGCCAGGAGATGCTGCTCGTTGCCGAAGGAGGACTTGAAGGAGCCGAAGAGACGCTCGAATTCTTCGCGGTACTTGTTGAGGGTGGGGACGGCCTCGAGCTCGGCGAGGGTCTCTTGGTACTGGCGCTCGAGGGCGCGGAAGGCCGACTCAGTCAGGGTTGCCCGAGTGGCCCCGTCGTCCCGGGGGGGCACGGGGGGCTCGGGGTCCTCCGCCGAGTCGGTCTTGGGGTCCGGCTCCATCGTCTCTTGCGGTTCGGATCGGCTTCGGCCGGGTCGGCACTTGGTGGAGGACTGGGGAGAGGACTGGCATCGATCAAACCTGGTGGGAGTGGTCGGGGGGCACGATTCCGCGTTCTCTTGTGCTTCTGTTTCTCTTGCGCAGTTTTCCTCTTCCTGCGATTATCGCTGGATGTGAATGTCGTTTTCTCGCACGATCGAGTGAATCGAGCGTCGAAGCGGCGCTGCGAAGAGTTCGGCTCAAGCGTAGCGTGCATGGAAGACGTTGGGGAGGGAAGCATGAGACCCCTGGGACAACGTTATCGAGCAGTTCTGCGTCTCTTTTAGCATTTTTTATTATTATAAAAGAGAGGATGGGGCACGTGCCTCTCGGGCTTCCGGCGCCACGCCGCTGCGTTCCGTACCAACTGGAAAGGCTCCGTTGGTTTCCACGGTACTGCAGCTGATTCATGGAGAGAGAAGTATACAATGACTTTGCCAATTCACGTTTAGCTCTGAGAAGTGTCTTTGTCTGGTTGCAGAACAGTTACTGCAGTGGATGACTTAAGAAATGGTTCTCAGGAGTTTGAGTTCTTTATCATTAGTCCGACTTGTCCTTTCTGGGTCGCCACCTTCGTGAAATATATATTTAAATATAATGAAAATATGTCGGATTCAGATACAAATACGTCGCACTTACCTGCTGGAACTTCGATAATGTAAGCGAAACGGAAAGATGCATCTGGCATCCCTGGGGTGCCACTTCTCTCAGCTCGGACTCGGCAAACATGTCGGCGACGTGTGGCCAATGCACAGTAGATCTGGGCATCTTGGTTACGTGTCGGCATGACAAGAGCGGTGATTTTGGGCTGACTTCATGTCAGATTAACTCGGTACAAAATTTGGTAATATTGTGGTGCTGGTTAAGTAACCAGCAAGTTGGACCTATATCCACAAACAGGAAAAATAAGTGGGTATTTGGCCTTCCCTAAGTTAGACCTAACGTTAGGTTTATACCCATCCCTTCCTCGCTCTTCAGTACCTTACATGTAACTGCATCATACTTGCTTCCTCCTACCCTTCCTTTTAATGTTGCAGTTTCGCTAGTGCAATCTGTCGTTGAAATTCCTTCTCACGTCTTGTCAATCTTTCTTGTGTTTCATGCCCTTCCTGCATCCAGCGAGAGTGACCGGCGATAGGCCTACCCATAATATCACATTTGATCCCAAGTTCTTGCTACGAAAATAGGAAAATCCTGAAGTGTGGTTTCTGGAAGATGTTTAAAGAACTGAAGTGATATAGATTTAAGAATAGATCAAAGCATGCCAATGTGGGGGGTAGACAAATGTGGTGGCGAAAGGTTGGTTATGCCCCTCCTAAAAACTTGTGTGAAGATAAGGCAATTTTGGTGCTCATGTATAATGAACCAATTAATAAACTTAATGAATGGACCCTACCTAGTTACATTAGAGGACGTTTTGGGTTCCAAGGTGTCAATTATGTACAGGGAGGATTTGAAGTCCACACTGGGGACTTCAAGTCCTCCTTGCTCCTACTTTGCCCCATAAACCTCTTACTTCATTGGTTGTCTTAAGCTTGAGCCTCTTGTAGCTTCACCATTCCCAAGTTAAGTTCTATCTAGTAGGAATTTCTGAAAGGGATGTAAATAGAAAGTGCTGGTGAAGCTATAGCAGAATTCAGGAATTATTTCCATGTTAAGTTTTCCTCTTGAATTTTCTTGCATATGTTCAAATTTACCTCTTCACTGACTTGTACAATATTGTCAAAATAATATTTATATTTTTTAATTCTAAAAAAAACTTGACAGAGCAGAAAATTAATCTGTGGTTAAGGGGTTAAGTATCACTTTTGTAATAGCTTTACTTTGAATTGAGTTTCTGTGGAGCAATCTTTGACATACATTTTTCCCGGCTTCTGATCCCTATATTGTTGAAAATGAGTATGTTTTATAATAACTCCAATAATTTTTGTTCCGTCAATATGTCAGTAGGTTTTAGCTGTTTTTGGACCACTTCAGCCCTTTTTTTCTTCCGAGTGTTGTATCCTTTTTAATATTTTGGTTTTAATTAAAGATAGACTGTTATATTGGTTGCTAATATAAATCAGTCAATATGGGCATATCAACAAATATTCCCATTGGCTCTTTCAAACCCTCCGATTTTTTCCAGTATCAGAATTAGAGTTCTGTTTGATCTATACTGTAAAAGAAAATATGTCTAGGACTATTTTTTCCACACCCATATGGAAACCCTGAGACGTGTGGTATAGACAATATGGCATCATCCGAGAGGTGAGGAGCTGCAGGTCTTTCACTCTGCTTATGTTCCTGGTCTGGCACAGAGAGGCAGACCTTTGCTCTAAGGCTTTGGTTTGGCCTATGCCTTGCAGCCTAACTTCATTGGGAGTTCATCAAATAGAATTTGAAATAAAATCAAGCTCTCCTGTTGAATCTTAAATATGATTTTGTTTATGCTGAAATATCGGCCAATATCTGAATCTGTAATATCCAATATCAATCTATCTCTAGTTTTAATAATAGATTAGTATTTTCTATTCAGCTGTTATGTATTGCTTTATTAACTGGTCTTACCTGAAATATAGGTAACTTATGGAAAATTGGTATGGTACTTTGATGAAGTTTTAGATATGTGTAAAACATATGAACATAAGGCTTGAACACGACTATCAATCTTTGAAGTGCTACCCATACTGGCATTGCCATTGTTGGACCTTTTGACTCTGAGATATGTCTTTCATGTTCATGTATGACAACCATACAGTTTCTGTTTATTTTATAGGTGCACTGAGGCTGATGTCATGCTTGTTGGCTTGTAATGAGGGGGCATAGGACCCTCTGATTACAAGATGCCAAAAGTGCCCAATATTGTAAATCAGAGACCACGCACTCGTAGTGACATAGAAATGTTCATCACAAAGGCCTTAGAGAAGATCCTAAGTGATAAGGAAATCAAGAGATCCCACCATCAGCAACTGAAGCGTGCATGTGAGAGGGTGCTGGAAGAAGTTCACAATGAGTTGAAGGGAACTGAACAAGACAGTGCAGATTCATCATCATGTCTACCCCTACCAAAATCCTCAGCTGGGAGCCTCGATGCAGAGAAGTACATTCTCCCATTTGAACTTGCATTGCAGTCCCGCACTCCACGCATTGTTGTGACTGCTTTAGATGGGCTTCAAAAACTGATTGCATATGGTCACATCACTGGAGCTTCCAAAGATGAAACAAATCCAGAGAAGTTGCTCATTGATAGAATTGTTGAATCCATCTGTGGATGCTTCACAAACTCATCCACTGATGAAGGAGTGCAGCTCCAAGTGCTGAAAGCACTTCTCACAGTTTTGACATCCTCCCATGTTGAAGTTCATGAAGGCACTTTGGTACTCGCCATACGAACATGTTACAATGTGTATTTGGGAAGCCGAAACCTGGTAAATCAAACTACTGCTAAAGCCACTCTCACACAGATGATGAATGTCATCTTTGCCCGAATGGAAAACCAGGTCTTGAAGTCTTCTCCTCACAAGGCTGACCTTGCTGCCATGAGTCCTGATAAGGAGAAAGTATTGGAGTCTCCAAAAGAGAATGGGGAAGCAGAGCCTTATGAAGATTTTCATTCTCAGGGAAGTGGAAGCATTGGCAGACATTCAGATTCCCTTGATCCTGAGCATCTACCAGTTGAAGAGGATGTGATTGATGAAGCAATGGTTATTGCTCAAGGTATTATTTCAGAGCTCATTGATGAAAGTTACAATGAAGCCAGTCAAAAAGACTTGTATCGGGTGCCTTCCCAAGAGAGTATGGCAGCTTCTGAACAAACTGAAGGCATGACAATGGCAAGGTTTTCTCACATCCAAGAGAAGGATGCCTTCCTGGTATTCAGGTCACTTTGTAAACTGTCCATGAAGCCATTACCAGAAGGTCAACCTGACCCCAGGTCACACGAGCACAGGAGCAAGCTTCTTTCCCTCCAGCTCTTGCTGGGTATCCTACAGAATTCAGGTCCAATCTTTCAAAGCAGTGAAATGTTTATTCCTGCAATCAAGCAGTACTTGTGTGTAGCCTTATCCAAGAATGGAGTATCATCGATAACAGAAGTCTTTGAGCTCTCCCTGGCAATATTTCTCATCTTATTATCCAAATTCAAAGCACACTTGAAGCGACAAATTGAGGTATTCTTTAAAGATATTTTCCTCAATGTGCTGGAGTCTTCAACTAGTTCATTTGAGCATAAGTGGCTGGTCATTCAAGCTCTCACTCGCATATGTGCGGACGCTCAATGTGTGGTTGATATCTATGTCAACTATGACTGTGATCTGAATGCAGCCAACATCTTTGAAAGACTAGTCAATGATCTCTCAAAAATTGCCCAAGGAAGGCAGGCTGTTGAACTTGGAGCCACACCAAATCAAGAAAAGAGAATCAGGATAAAAGGCTTGGAATGTCTAGTATCTCTTCTCAAGTGCATGGTTGAATGGAGCCGTGAGTTGTACATCAATCCCATGGCTCAGATTCAGGTCACAGAAACCTCCAGTGATCCCATGGATGAGCCAGACTCCCTACAATCAAATGGCAGTCTTCGTGGCAGCACCAGGAATTCCCCTTCTATGCTACATAGTACTGGTGCTTCTGATGAAACTCGTCAATTTGCAGTGCAAAAGCAACAAAAAGAAATTTGGGAACAAGGCATTCAGCTTTTCAACCGGAAACCGAAAAAAGGACTCAAGTTCCTTCAGGATCACAAGTTCATTGATGGTAGCCCTGAAAGTATTGCAAGGTTCTTTCATAAATACAATGATCAACATCTAGACAAGACTCAACTTGGTGACTTTCTGGGAGATCCAGACAATTTCAACCGGCAGGTCATGTATGCCTATGTTGATCAGTTGGATTTTGTCAATACTGACTTTGTGTCTGCATTACGACTCTTCCTTGAATGCTTTCGCCTCCCTGGTGAAGCCCAAAAAATAGATAGATTGATGGAAAAGTTTGCTGCTCGTTACTGTGAGTGCAACCCTAACTTGGGCCTATTTGCAAGTGCAGACACAGCTTACGTGCTGGCTTATTCCATCATCATGCTTACTACTGATTTGCACAGTCCTCAGGTGAAGAACAAAATGACCAAAGAGCAATATATCAAGATGAATCGAGGAATCAATGACAGCAAAGATCTTCCAGAAGAATATCTTTCTGAAATCTATGATGAAATTGCAGGAAAGGAGATAAAAATGAAAGGAGGAAATCAGGTGGGAAAGCAGCTTGTTTCCAATGAGAAGAAGAGGAAGCTCTTGTATAATTGCGAGTTGGAAGCAATCTCCCATGCTGCGAAGGCACTCATGGAAGCTGCATCGCATGTTGAAGCACCCTTTACACAAGCCATGCACTTGGAGCATGTGAAACCCATGTTCAAGTTAGCTTGGACACCATTCCTTGCAGCCTTCAGCGTTGGCCTTCAGGATTGTGATGATCAACAAATTGCAACTCTTTGTCTGGATGGCATTCGTTGTGCAATTAGAGTTGCTTGCATTTTTCGCATGGAGTTGGAGAGGGACGCATATGTGCAGGCTCTTGCTCGGTTCACCCTCCTGACTGCCATCTCCCCATTGACTGAACTGAAGGCAAAGAATGTGGATACGATCAAGATATTGATCCTGGTGGCTCAGACAGATGGTAACTACCTGGGTCATGCATGGTTGGATATCTTGAAATGCATTTCACAGCTTGAGCATGCTCAATTGATGGGGACAGGAATGAAACCGAAGAATGCCCCTGTTGGCTTTCCAACCAGGGATTCCATTTCACTCAGTGTAGAGTCTTTCTTGTCTGACCACTTGGATCTTGGAAGTGACCAAAAGAAGTTGGCTAGTGCCAAAGAACTTATCACACAGGCATGCTCTCAAAGTGTTGTTGTTGCTGTTGATCGGATCTTCACTGGGTCTGTAAATCTGGATGGAGATGCTGTAGTTGATTTTGTGAAGGCACTATGTGAAGTGTCAATGGAGGAACTAAAAACATATGGGCAACCAAGGATGTACAGCTTGCAAAAGTTGGTTGAGATCTCCTATTACAACATGGGTCGCATTCGTCTCCAGTGGTCCCGCATATGGGAAGTCCTTGGAGACCACTTCAATCAAGTTGGATGCTTACCAAATGAGGATGTGTCCTTTTTTGCCATAGACTCTCTACGGCAACTGTCCATGAAATTCATTGAGAAGGGTGAATTCCCCAATTTCCGCTTTCAGAAGGAGTTTTTGCGACCATTTGAACATATCATGAAGAAGAATCGGTCACCGACAATCCGAGACATGGTTGTGAGATGTATAGCTCAGATGGTGAATTCTCAAGCAGCTAGCATAAAATCTGGTTGGAAGAACATCTTCAGTGTTTTTTATCTGTCTGCTTCAGACCCAGATGAAAACATTGTTGAGTTGGCCTTCAAAACTACTGGGAAAATAATTCAGGAGGTATTCCATAATCACTTTGGTATCATCCTGGATTCTTTCCAAGATGCAACCAAGTGCCTCAGTGAATTTGCCTGTAATCCAAACTTCCCAGACATCAACATGGAAGCCATTCGGCTCATCAGAGTGTGTGCAAAATATGTTGACGAGAAAGAAGCTATGTTCCGTGAGCATAACATGGAAGATGTGACTGTGGCAGAAGAAGATCGTGTGTGGGTTAGGGGATGGTTTCCCATTCTGTTTGGGCTGTCTTGCATCATCAATCGTTGCTCCTTGGATGTTCGTACCCGAGCACTCACCATCATGTTTGATGTCATCAAGTCTTATGGAAGCTCCTTCCGTGTGCACTGGTGGAAAGACATATTCCAGGTTCTTTTCAGGGTGTTTGACATCCTGAAGCTTCCTGAGCAGTCATCTGAAGGCGATTCTAGATCACATTTCAATGAGAAGAAGGAGTGGATGACAACAACTTGTAATCATGCCCTCTATGCAATTGTTGATGTTTTTACACAGTATTATGATACACTTGGACCTATCCTGCTGGAAGATCTATATCAACAGCTGAGATGGTGTGTGCAGCAGGATAACGAACAACTGGCTCGCTCTGGCACCAATTGCCTTGAGAATTTGGTGATCTCAAATGGCACCAAATTTGGAGATGAAGCATGGGATATGACACTCCACTGCATGCTTGACATCTTCAATATGACTTTGCCACAAGACCTTTTAACATGGCAGCCAAATACAGCAGATCGTGAAGAGAACAGCTTTGCTTTGATGCATGGTGAAATGGAAGCAGTTATGAATGCTGTTGGTGGTGACATGAGCTCTGGATCTGGAGGTGTCATGTCTGAAGACAGCTCTTACAAGAGGCATGGGAAGGATGGATCCGAAAAGAGGAGCAAACGTAAGATTCCTCAGCCCAAAGTAGCCACTGACCACAAAGTCTTCTCTGCTTTGTTCATCAAATGTGTTGTGCAACTGGAACTCATCCAAGCCATTGATAACATAGTATTCTATCCTACCACCAGTAAAAAAGAAGATGCAGAAAATCTAGCAGCTGCACAAACACAGACTCTACTCGATCAAGATGACAACCAGCAACACGAGGATCAGGGGATGTATCCATTCCTCAGCTCCTCTCGCCTGCTTCGTCTATTGGACTGTCTACTGGTATCCCATCAATTTGCCAAATCATTCAATTCCAATCATGTGCAGCGAAATGCATTATGGAAAGCCGGCTTTAAGGGTAATGCCCAACCCAACCTGATGAAGCAGGAGACTCAGAGCCTTGCATGTGCCTTGAGGATCCTCTTCAGACTTTATCTTGACGAGTCCCGACAAGATGCCTGGCCGGAGGTTCATGATCGGCTGATTCCGATCTGCAAGGATGGCCTCGAGTACTTCCTCACCCTCCGTTCCGAAGCCCATCGGGATGCCTGGACCTTCATCTTGCTACTTTTCTTGACCAAAGTGCAAAAGCTGAATGATAAAAGGTTCCGGGCTCACATCTGTGTTTACTACAATCACCTGTGTGACATGATATGCCTGGATTTGAAACCAGAGCTGCGAACTCTCCTGAGGCGCTTTTTCCTGAGGATTGGACCTGTGTTTCAGATTGTGCCTCCGCCTCTTTGATTGTGATGTTGATCCCTTCTCTGGGATTCGTTCCAGGCAATTCTGCATCTTCTGTATACTTGAATCACACGATCTAGAGTCATCTCTCAGTTCGGTTGTCCTCTATAGTTATAGAGTTATATGATAAGTCTTTATATGAAAAGTCCTGCCAGGTGGGTGATAACTTCATCAGTTGAAGAGTTTTATGCAAATGTTCACAGGAGAAAAAACATTTATTTATTTATTAAATTGGCAATTGGTGATCATTCATAGATTCTAGTATCTGTGCATATTATAATATATGCATTGTTTTATGTAACAAGCTAATTTGGGTTTAGCTGGAATAAGACATCCACAAACTTGAGTACTTGCATTCCATCTTCATTTGAATCTGGCATTCACTATGAGGGCTATTGCAACTGAGATATTCATCTTGCTTCAGTTTCACTCAGATTAATGATAAAATTTAGTGTGTGGTGCCTAAGTTACATCTGTTTCACAAGGTCACTTCTGTCAAGTTGAATATCTGATGTGCAATGGCCTTGAGAAATTCTCCCTGATAGTTCTATTGTGATTACTTTTACACTTGAAACTTGAAGCAGAAGCCACATGTTCATGACAGGGTTTCAGCCAAATGGCAAGTGACTTGCTGATGAACTGAGGAGCATGATCCTCTTTCACTACAGACTGTGCTCTCATGGATTGCATTCCCATTATTGCGAACAGAAGTATACAAGTAACTGGTTGTTGTTTTTTTTTTTCAAGCTTGCAAATTTGTACAACAAATGGTTTATGTTCCTGCACTTAATAAGATGGCAACCAATGTCATGGAGAGGGATCTAGGGAAAAAAAAGACTTGATACTCTGAATTTGGAAGATTCTCATGAATTATGGCTCCATGATTGCCAAGTTCACCTTATATATCAGTTTGGATTTCTGAGCCAATCAAGGAAATTCTATATTCAAATCTGAGTTTCATTGAAGGAGAAACTGCCAACCGCAGACTCATGTTGATCATACACAAACCTAGCATCACAGTTTCTACACTACAATTGGTATGTGATGTATAATGTTGGATTAGAGCCAGCATTATTGGACAGTGGGATGAATAAACTTGAGTAATACATCTGAGTGGTGGGTGAAAGTCATCCTTAACCCTCCTGGCCCCATTCCAAAGCCTTGGTTCCCCAGATATTACCTTAATGTAATCTGGATAAACTGTTGAAGTACCAAATACTAACTCAATAGTCCAACAAGTGAAACTTGGAGTTCTTAAAAAAAAAAAAAAGAATGCCTATGACCAGCTTGGCCAGGAGCAACAAATGTGTCAAGAATGCTTTTGAGTGGTTTGGCCAGGAGGGTTAAACAATGTCTGATGGCATCAACATGTGAGACCCCATTCATATATTATTATAAGTCATAAGGTTTGAGTCTCCAAGACAAGAAGCACTACATCATGGGCACTGTAGTGAAATTGAACTCAGTTCTTAATAATGTTTTTTTATTGTCAGAGCCAATTATATGCTGGACTCTGCTTTAGATGGGTAACTTCCCACTCTAGTTAAGTTTGGGGAGACGATGCCTTCTTTATGGTGATTGACACTAGAAAACAGCTACCTCAGCATAAACTGTTAGGAGTCCATGATCATTTTGGCAATCATGCATTATGGGAGTAAATCCTCAGATGTGGGATGTTGTGCAGAACTCAAGTTGCAGTACATATGAGGATTGAGGCAACTGCTATGATGGTGAAAATTGGAGGATGCTGAAGAGAGCTCATCATGAATATGGACATGAGGCTCTGGAAGATTATAGGACTACCTACGTAGTTCTGACCCTATCTGAAATAGAGTAGTAGGCATGAACTCATTCATAGCTTACTTGGAAGTATTTTATTTGCTACGAGGACCATGTAGGAAAGTTTACTGAATTCATAAGATAGCAAATGAAGAATCATGAGGAAACATGACTGACAGCAGGAAAGTAAGACCTCAGCGCATGATAATTCCCTCTTGCTATTATTTGCAAATAGGTATCACCTAGCATCATTGGCTTTGAAAAAGGATCATTGCATTGGAATGTGGCATGAAAGAGTTTGACTTGGATATTTTTCTTCATCTGATCTGGAGTTAAGACCTAGGAAAGCCTCCTGTCTCAGGTATGTCTCCAAATATGGGCAAATACTGCCACTGCATTAAAAACATGCAACAGTTATATGTATGTAATAACATAGGAGGCCATTTCCACTTCTTTATTGTGTAAATGTGACTTGGGAGGAGAGGTCTGGTTGTTACTGAAGCAATACTGCTGAAACTGAGGGAGTAGATAAGATGGGAAGCAGATCTTTATGAGAGACCAGAATTTCTCTAGATTTCTTCCCTGAGACTCCACATTTTTATCCAATTATAAATTATTTTTCAGTTAGTCTCATAATCCCCTCTATGATGGCATCTCTGGGCAAGTGCTTCCCAGAATTGAAATGTTGAAAGGAAAAGTGGTCTGTTTGCTAAAAAATTTTTTTGAACTCCATTCCAGTGAGGAAATTAGGTTTTCCCTGACAAATTCCAAAAAACTCTAATCTTCAATGAAAGGAAAAAGGTTCTCTGTGCATTAAACCAACTTAAACATATTTCTGACATTTTCTACAGGTAGACCACATTTTGTTTCAGCCCTTCAGTCCTGGTCACCTCATGTTGAAAACCCCTCAGGAGCAGCTCTTGATTTTAAACTTCACCCCTACTGGAAGAGTAATATGTTCCTTGTGGCAAATGCAAACCTTGAAACTGGATATGGAGGTGCCACTTCTTACCCTCTGTAGGCTCTATTAATCATTATATGAATTATTTAATTCAAAGAAACAATTATTTATTCAATTTGAGTAGCCAAATGTAATTACAAAGAGATCTCATCAGAACTGGCACTAGGGAAAGCTGGTATTACCCAAATACCAGCTTCCACCCAAGGTACCAAAAAAGGCATAGAGGGATTACTGCTGTGCCTTGCAAATTGCCACCTTGTATCCAGGCCAGAATGCATTGCTTGCTATGCACTTCTTTTTTATCACAATCAGGAGCCATACAGGCAGGGTGGGGAAGGGGCAATTAGAGTTGACCCAAGGCACTTCATTATCTAGGGTAGGCCATGATTCTTATAGATTGCATTGGCATTCAAACCTGATGGGAAGTCACAGAATACTATCAATTATATCACATGATTCCCAGACATTGTTTAAACCACCACCTGAAGAAGTATGAAAGGCCATGGAAATGAAACCCATTCACCAACTTCCAAATCTTTTTCGCTCCAGACAGGGAGAAAGACATTATTCAATCATACACATGAGGCTATGGCATCAGTTCTAAGTTCCTGAATGCTTCAGCCAGCTTTTCAATTTCTCCTTTCAGCTGGTTCAACTTCTCACTGTTAGCACTGCGAATGTCCTCTGGGACTTGGACCTCGTAGTCACTCTTCTTCATGGTTTCCTCCAATTTACCTTTCTGTGCCTCCAACTTCTGTTGCTTCTCCTTGATCTTCTCCAACTCTTTCTTCTTATCAATGAGGCCCTGAAAATACCATTCATGGCCATAAGTCACAAGTCTTGAAAAAGTATGGGTTGAAATTCCATTCAACAAAGGTCCCTAAAATTGCAAAAAGACCTGAGTACAATGTAAGGGACAAATGTGCAACCTATTATAAAGTTTGGAAGTGCATACTTCACCTTTTAACCCTCTGTAATGTGCATAATAAGTGTGCATTGATTGGCACAGTAGCATTGCAATTTTCCCCCATGGTAAATCCTAAGATGATTACAAGAATAATGAGAAATTCCCTTGTTTGTGAAATTGCTGCATAGCTTAAGAAACAGCATAAAATCAAATTATACCATATGATAGTTGGATGGGGAGCACACCTTTTATCTGCTTCAGATCACACATACCCTAATCCATGACCAGATATTACACAGCACTCCTAAATTAAAAAAAAATTATTATAATGGATACCACAAAATTACCTCAAGATGAAGATAAACTTGTAGTTTGTCAGACACAGTGAGTATGACACATCCTGAAGGTGTATCGTGGTCCAAAGCTACTTTCTTACAGTATGCCAAAGTAGTGATAACATCCTGAAAACTCTCCAGAGTCTCCCTGGTTGCTTGATCCTCTGTCTTCAAGAACACTGGAAAGTAAAGCATACCATGCAACTTTCAAGGCAGAGAGGATTTTTTTACTCATTGAACTTTTCATCCTTTCAGTGATTTCGTCATGTATCCAGATGCCAACAGATTAGAAAACAATAGGACTGTGGAGTGTATCTTGATCCCTCATTCACTCTTATTTGCCTTCTTTCATCAGAACATCTTTTTTCCTTGCAAGTAAATTTTGCCATTGAACATATATTAGTGCAAGGGCACTTGAAGGGGAGTGATTAAGACAAAAGAACATCACTGTTGATGGGATCCATTCACTTTAAAATTCCTGTCTCCTTTTAGATGTACTATGGTACATTGAATCCCACATAAAACTAAACAGCCCAATCCTGAAAGAAAACTGAACCTAAATAGAAGTGAGGTTTTCAAGCAATGCACTCACCATCTGCTTTTATCTTGTGAATGAGGTTATAGTCAGATCGAGCACTGCGGATGACCTTGATCACTTTCTGCACCAGCTCCATGTCTCTGTCCAAGTCTTCCGCCTTCCAGATGCACTGTGAAGATATCAACAGTTTAATGTCCTACATCTGCTTGAAGATACTTCTCTCATTGGGTTCATATATGAGTCCAAGCCAAGAGACCTCATTGCTGTCTGGATAGGAGGCAACACAAATGCTTGGAGTTCCATCATTTGCCCTGCGTGGGAGCCTCTGCCACAGTTCCTCTGATACATACGGCATGAGAGGGGATATGAGACGAAGACCTGTCTCTAGGCACGTGTAAAGCACTTGCCTACATCTCTCTTGGGTATCTTCGGACCCATCTCGGAAACATGGCTTGATGGCTTCCTATATAGTGAATTTCAAACAGGAGTAAATAATAATTAAAAAAACAGGCAAACATTTCTAACATAGCTTCATAATATCCAAGCTCTTGTCTTTATCAGTAAGCAATAGCATCACCAGGTTGACACAAAAGGACAAGGTAAAGCTCAGTCACTGTAAGTTGTCTTTAGCTGTACACTTACTCAGTAAGCTGTACTTTAGCTGTACACTGCCTTGACTTATTCTAAGCTTATTAATTAACACACACAGTTGGAAAACCTGACAGAGAGTAGTCTGTTCTTCCTTCTTAAAAGTGCTATCATATTACAAGTAAAATGCTGAAGAGAATGGAGAAAAACTTGGGAAAGCTGGCTCCTGCATTTCTAGATTCCAAGTAATTCCAGCTTGGTGAATTGGGTAAGTATTTTAATAAAATTCTGACACTATTATGCTGTAAGTTTTTTGGCAACAGTTTTTACTCTTGACTTCAATGATATTAGTCTCTACTTTCCACTGACATTCCTACATGTTACTTTTCTCTCTTTCATCTGCAGCTACATGACACATTGGCCCAAAACAGGCCATACAGGTTTAGCTCATAGTACTTCATGTTCCATGATTCTGGGATGGAGATGACAAGAACTTGTAAGAAATTATCCTCATCAAGCTCAAACTCCAGGCAGTCTTAGATTCCATTGAAGCAAGAGCCATTAAGGCAATGATTTTACCATTGTAAAAGAACACTAATGTTTTATGTTAACTCATTGACGCTGGGAACCGTAATATTACGTTTTTAAACCCATAGTGTTCTGCAGTTGCTGGGCGTGAATGGGTTAAGTCGCAAGCCAAATTTTTTATATCATGCATGCTCTCTGGCTATCTGGAACAATGATCTACAAAGCCTGCATCATCATAGGCAATCCCTAGTATTTGTTTAAAGGGGGAGGCAGACATTTTGTCTGATCTCCCCCTCCCCCCCTTGTGTTACATAATTTGTGAATAGCCCCTAAGGTTCTTGACAATGCATTATTTCCCTGTCTGAGGTACCAGCAAGAGCTGTCGATTATAAAGGAATACTGTGAAGCAGCTAATACCTGGAATGCAAACAGAACAGCAAAAAAACATAAAAATTAAAAACATAATGAAATGGGGAAAATAAGCTGGAAAACTGCAGAAAGTTTTTCATAAATTCTTTTTTTGTTTGATGATTGACTGAAAACTTGAGTTTTTCAGTCTTAAGTCCTTCAAGCTGGTCATTGAAAAGGGTGGAATATTCCCTGCTGCAGTAATATTTTTTGCAGTTAGCCCTAGGGACATTTACTGCCTGTTGGCAAAAGCCCCAAGATTACAGTTTATTCCAAGATTCCAACCTATAACATGTCATAAAAGTATAAATAAATTACCACACTGGACATCACTGTTCTGGCTTACCCATGCAGTAGATGTAGCAGACATCACAGTGAAATCAAATGTGCTTGAAGGGTTAAGTAATTGAGGATTTTACCCCAGAAGAGACAGATTTCCAGCCCAACAAAAATGGAATGAAAGCTGCATTCTCCACAAGGTTTTGGTTTTGGGACTTCATCCCATGAGTAACTCAAGTAACTAAGACCTGACTGAATCAAGGAAAAGGCTAAAAATTAACTGTTCCCCCACTTGTCACTGATATGGATTAAAAATGTTGGTGCCTGGCATGGGACATACTGCATGCCCAAGCCCAATGTTGAAGGGCATTTTAAGAGAAATTTCAATCATTTTAAAGACCTACCCAAGACCAAAGTGTGATTACCAGTGGTTGAGGGAAAGAACAAAAGAAGGGATAACCAAAATGATTCAAGCACTCCAACACACAAAGACACCCACACATTCAGCTAACTTATAAGCGAAATTCCAGTTTAAAAGAAAGTGAACTTGCAAAAGGCAGAAACATTAATACACTTACAAGGTAAACATCACACAGCTCATACAGCCAGAAGTTGTAGCAAGCCATCGTGATGGGTGGGAATTCATAGTTCTCAAAGCCTCGATTGACAGCTTCCACAGCTGCAGTCAGTCGACTCAGTATCCACCTGTCAATCCGAGAGGCTCCCTCTGGCAACTGGAAGGAATTTCAGGAAAATGACTGGAGATAGGAAGATGGTCATAATCATTTTCTGGGATTTTCCCTTCATCTGGTCTCCCAGGAAGTAAAAACTAAAATTTTTGTGTACTGGAAGTCAATTAAATTGCTTTTGATGAAAAACACATCATCCTCATTAACTTTCCAGAGTGCTCACTTGTTCATCTCAGTTCATTTAATTCTATTCTGATTTTTATCTTCACTTACTAGTGATGTTACTGATACACCCTTTTTTCACTTTCATTTTCAGACAACATATCAGCATTGATATTGATCCAGGTCTTTCTTGGACTGCCCTTGCTTCAAAGTTGCAAATTCTCTTAACTGATTAAAAACAAACCCAGTTGAATCTCATCAGGACTGCCCAAGAAAATCCATCATCAGAACAACACATTGAATTTGGTACACCAGGGCCATATATCTGTCTTTTGGGAATATAATAGGAGATTGAAGATGCTCACTGCAGAGAAAACCTTTCAGAAGGTGGTAGGAAACTAAGGGAAAGTGCATAAGTATTAACCACATTGATGATGCAACTTTGATATAGGATGAAACCAACAGGTTCCTTGTGTGAGGAAAGACAAAGGCAGAAGCACATTATGGGCACCAGGGAATAAGAGAGTGTACCATGGGTAAAGCACCATTCTCATTTCCCTGCTCTATACAGATGATGGCACAACAGCTCAAGAGGATCTTTACTAGTACAGGCCTTCCAGGGAGAAAGGGTAGCCATTACAAGACATGGAACAGGACTCCATTTCATATTTTCTGTTTACTCTCTGCAAGTCTCTTGCTACTTTAAGTCTACTTCCCCTCGGCCATACTGCACCTTGTTCATAAGACTCTTCCACTGTCTCACACTCCCATAATGCCGGTCAACCTCCTGACATATGCAAGGAATTCTTGATGAACTTATTTATGGAACAAACTAGGTATCCTAAGTAGAGGATTATCAGCACACCTACCATGCTAGGACCGACAATGAGGCCTACAATAGTGATTAGTGTCATTTTTATTGGTTAAATTATCAGTAACATCCCTATTCTCTACTATCTACTTGGATAGTCCACTAGATCCACTTTCATTTCTAAACAACCTTTGAGTTATTTAAAAATTTTGCAATTTATATTATACATAAAAAAAACCTCCAGAGCTTCTCTGTTATGCAAACATTCCTTACCTGAGGTGACAGAGATGGAATGAACTTGTCCCCAAGGCAACTGACAGCAAATTTGGTTGCATTCCAGAGCTTGTTGCAGAAGAATCTATACCCTTGCACACGTAGCACATCAAGATTGATATCTCTCCCTGTATAAATAAATGATACATCCATACCATAATATGAATGCAATGAGGATTTGGATGAATTCCTAGATGAACCCATGCGTTTCACAAAAGAGGATGCAATGAAATTAGAAATCTAATTATAATTAAATCTAATGCCCTGAAATGCATCAAAATTAAAAGTTAATATCTGCAAGAGATATTTACAGTATGTACATGAAAGACAATTATCAGTACGGTAACTAATACAGCATGATTATCACATACAAGAAAGTAAGCTCTTTCCATGCCTCATGGTTTCAATTTAATGTGGCATCACCAATCATAGGCAACACAGTTGTAAAAGTTTGGCATGCATCAACAGATTGGATGATCAACATTGTCATGAGTAGTCAGCCTACAAATAGAAAACAGCTATTGTTGTGTATGAGTGCAGTATTGTTTCACTATGAGTTTTGAATAATGTGCAACTTTTATAAAATGGTATCCATCCTGAAAATTTCATTTTGTAACAACTGCAAGCAATGCTTTGAATATCATGAAACTTGATTTTCAAATTTAAAAAATCAGCAAGCATGACAAGATTTAGAAACCAGCAGGAACACAGAAATATAGCCAAAGAAGTAGATTAATACAAATTGCAATTAGAATCAAAAGTATGACTGGCAATAAACAGGAGAATATTCTGATTTTGTCCATTATGTACATGAAGAAAATTGAGGTAGAAGTCAGGAAATTAAATAGAAAGGAAATGGAGAAGTGCTTTAACAAGCAGATTACAGCATATTCAAAATCATTTTTTGACCTGAGTTACATTCATGGTTTTTTGAAGGCATTGCTCTAGGTTCTGCTACCTGTAAAGTTTGATGGTGACACTCACTTTGCTTTTGAAGATCACAAATGAGAACAATTTGAATCATAAATCATGCTGGATTCTCTTAGGATTTCCCCAATTCCTTCAGGAGTAATAGTTCACAGACTTTAAAGGAACTACTATATGGGTTATATAAAACTCCAAGGATAGCAAAACTGAAGACTCATGAGTACCATTCCTTCTTGTTCAAGGACCTCAGAAATCCTTAAAGGAGAAGCAGTTACAGTCATCCCCCAAAGTTACATCGTAATTGGTTCCGAGACCAGTGACGTTAGTCAAGACGACATAAGTCGAGGCAGTATGGTATTGCAGACTACTCACAGTTGAGATACCAATTCATGGACGATGGAAGGGCAACATAATACAACTTAGGTATGAATTTGTGCACTTGGCTTAATATATTGAGTTTGGGGCCAAACAATGTAAGTGCGAATGATGTAAGACGAGATGACGCAAGTCGGGGGATGACTGTATTTGCAAAATGGCATTATTCCCTTAGTTGCTATCTTTTCCTAGATGCAGTTGATTGCCAGTTGTCAATCATTGGAATTTTTCAGCAATTAGCTCGGCATGACCTTGTATAATCGACCAAGACTCTCTTCTCAATGAGAGGATCATAATCTTCAATATCACCAGTATCATGTATTGTGATTCACATCATGACCACCAACCTGGGGTGAGGTATGCACATAATGCAAAACGCAATGCATCTGTCCCACACTCTGGAATTCCATTTGGATAGTCCTGCTTCTGGCCTTCCTTAGCTTTGGCAATCTCCTTCTCATCCAGATTTCCACTCTCCTCCAATTGCTTATATAATTGCTGTAAAAAAAAAATTGGGGGATGCAAACACGAAAGAACATGAAAAAAAAAGAAGATAATTCTGGCAAAGAGCCAAACCTCAAGAGTAATGCCACAGATGACATCCAGAGGATCAATGACATTGCCCAAAGACTTGCTCATTTTCCTTCCATGCGCATCTCTCACTATTGTGTGCAAGTAGACATCCCTGTGCATAAAAATCAAAGAACTCAATTAGTCCTCCAGTTCCATGAAATTTAGGTAGCTCAGGTGACCAAGTAGTCTCAGCATATTAAAAAAGAACATGGAGTCATCCCACATGAACTGAAATGCTGGTGGTCTGACCATCTCAAGAACTTTGGGAGAAAAAAAAAACCTACATTGAATTATGACCATTCAAGTTCCAGAGATACCATGAAAAAAATATTATTTTTCTCCTACAGTAATTAATCTCCAGAGATGAGCATACCTCATATAAATATACCTCTGCAAATTTATAATCAGTCTGGAACCAAAAGGAATTTACTAAATTTCTCTAACTCTATGAAAATCTCCAAATTCAAAATATGGAGTCAAAAGGTCACTGATTAACTGTAGTTAAGGTCTGGTGAACCCCTTGCTCATGGGGCAAGCTTGACCCAAACCACTCTCTCTCATTAGAGGTTTTCAGAAACTTTCATAAAAGCAAACTCAAGTGACCTCAAGCAATCTAAGGGTAAGTATTCTGACCCACCTTCCCAATCCTTCATTGCATACCTATATAAAGGTAACTCCAATGCTCTGGACACACAAACTGCATTCTGTGTTGCATAAGAATATCATAAACTGGAGAAGATTTATGGGTGGGGCTACATAATGAAGAATTTGGTTGCACAAGGTACATATAAATGAAACTTTGGATATAGACCTAAGTGAGAACTGGTTTGGTCTCATCATGATGAGACCAAACCAGACCAAATGTCTCATCATATTTGAACTTTGAGAGCTAAATATCTTGAAAATCCAATGAATTTTAGATGTGTTGAGAATTCAAGGAATTATTGCTGAAAGAGGACCCAACAACATTATAATCCACAGATATGGTTCTTGTCATAAGTTTTGAGGAAGTGATAACAATAGAGAGCTCTACCTTATCAACATGGATTGCCCTCTTCTTTCCCTCAGTACCTCAACCCAGGAATGAGATGCCCCATTGGCCCAAAGGAAGTCTTGAGGAACCACCCCATGTCCCAATTGTGTTCAAGAAGAAATGTTCAAGACTAAGGACTCCTTCAAAGATTACCATTAATTCATGAACTTGCTGATGACTGGGGGAATGAAAACACAACTTACTTGAACGGGAGCTTCTTCATCAATTTCTGACCAAAGAACACCATCCGTGCCACCCAGAAGAAGAGAATGTCATAGCCAGTCTCGAGAAGATTCCCCGGATAAAACACGGCCAAGTCCTCAGTCTACAGGTGGTTCAATTGTTCATCTCAAAAAAAGTTCAGCGTGACATTCTATTTCCTACACCTGACCTCAGGGAGCAAACACTGACTTTCTCTGGCCATCCCATCACCGAGAATGGGAATAGAGCTGCTGAAAACCAAGTGTCCAACACATCTGGATCCTGCTCCAGGTGAATCTTCTCAGGAGAGACCTGAAACTGCTTGACTGCTTTCTCCATTGCATCAGTCTCTGAGCGCCCACTCACCCAGTAATTCTCATCAGTTCTCTGGAACAAAAAATGGATAGGAACAGTCAGTCAATTCATAATGCAGTGTCTCATCCTCTATTCATTGACATAAGCCTCTGACAAACAAAGCTATGTTCAACATTCAGCCTATTAGGTCAAGGAAAGAACTGAGCATCACAGAGGGCAAGGAGGAAACACTTTCTGCAAGTTTACAGGAAAACTTTGAATGCTTGAAAGTAGCATTAAAGAACTGAAGTAAGAGTCTTTTGGACTTCATAGAACTGAATTTTCATGTTTCTTCAGTAAGACCAGAATATAAGAAGCTATAATAAGCAAGTCAAGTCACATGACCAAAGGGAATGATGTGATTAGTGTTCCCATTAAGGAACTGAGACTGATCTACAGTATTCTGATAGCATGTACATTCCAAAAGAGCTCTTAGTATGCTTAGAGCTCTTTGTCTCTTCCACATTGCAGTCTACAACAAACTACCTCTCAAAAAGTAGGCTCCAGTTCAAACTTCCACACTGTTGGCAGTACAGTAGAACCAATAAGGATCATAAGTGAGAGCAATTTGGATCAAAGGTTCACATGAGGGGAGGGAAGGTGGGAATTAACAGGGTTTACATCCCATTCACAAAGTTCCCTTTCATGTTAGGAATTACTGAAAAAAGGACAGAATAGATTTCCACAAGGTTGCCAATGGTTTCCAGACAGGTGAAGAGAAACACACATACTGCATGGCGACAGATGCAGTGTCACCAGTTGGAAACCATGAAGGACAGAGGTACTCCTAACAGGGAACAAAGAATGGTACAGATGCTCTGATTGACTATTGCCATTTCAATTGATTCCTTTACCAAAATTTTTCCAGATCCTCCTGTTGGAGTGATATGAAGTTTTAACTCAAAAGTGTGTGAGAATGTGGATCAGTGGCATAAAAAATCTAATTGTTTCATTTAAGCACACACCTAACCTATTTCAAGTACCAGAAAATTACTAAGTTGAGAAATACTAACTTCACCACTGGGAAGTGAAGGATCTGAGAACGTGATGAAATATGCAGGAATGCGATGCCCCCACCAAAGCTGTCTTGAAATGCACCAATCTCGAATATTCTCCATCCAGTAGTTCCATGTTTTCACATACATCTCTGGAATGAGCCTCAGTTCACCATCACGAACTGCAGCAATGGCCTTCTGAGCCATCTCATCACACTTGACATACCTTTAACAAAAAATAACTATAAATGATCACTACATGTAACTGCACATAAAAATGTAAGCCCAAATATGGGTTAATACCAGTCCCATTTCTTACAGCCTTAAAGTGAAAAAAAAAGCTACATCTGACAAAATGTTCAGATAACAATTTTCAAAGCAGAATTTAATTGGATTAGTTGAATGAACACAGTGGTAGATACAGAAGGTGTGGGGGGGGGGGGGGTCCCATATAATTAATTAAATGTCTTCTTCAAACTTGCCAGAGCTTTCATGGAAGAGCCAAGAGATGTTAGAAGAAATGGTTTATTTCCTTCATAAACCTTCCCTATTCTTCTCTGCACTTTTTCCTTGCTTCATGCTCCACCTGTCAGTCTGACCCTAACTGCCTTCACAATGTTAGCCCCCATAAACATAGCTCCAAAGTTCAGCTTCATTTGGAAGAAAAGGAAGAAGACACATGGAGGTATGGTGCAGATTGTGAATGGGTCACAGACAAAGAAGTTTCATTTTCTAATCAAGGTGCCCAATAACTTTGTGGGATGACAAGTTAAGTTCTCTTCACAGAAAGCACAAATCAACAATAATTTTATATCCCCATCTCCAAACATTATACAGGTGTAGACTGTACCATCAAAGCTTTGAAACTCTCCCTGGATAGTAAGTGACAGACAGACAGAATGTTAGCTGTGAATACATGGTTGATAATGATGGCAGTACTAATCGCCTCACCATTGTGGTTTGATGAGTGGTTCAACAATATCTTTAGACCTTGAGCAGATCGGTACAATCATTGGATTCTCTCTGACATTTCTGAAGAGACCTTTATCTTTGAGAGCTGCAAGGACAGCTTTTCTGGCCTCAAATCTATAAAGGATAGAAAGATGTACATATGAATAAGAGCTATGGTAAGAAAAAAACCACATATGACACAGTTTAGCATTGATGTCATGATGCCATGAAATCTATAAATCTGCTTATGTAGGTGTATGTACATTATCTGTTTACAGCACAAATGGTATCACTTCCAGCATGTAGAATATGAAAAAATTATGCCATAGGCAATGCAATAAATGTATGTAGTCTCATTTTATTTATTTAAAAACAGTGGATTAACAACAGCAACTTGGCAACTGCAAAACATGTGGACTGAATTCAATACTTTAAATATATGGGGTCAATTCCACTACAGGAGGCATCTATTTGCTGCAGGCAACTATGAAGTTCAGGAACTGTGTGGCTGACCTCTTATGCCAAAAACAGTTTATGTGCTTTATGAGTACTTCATGACAAGATTACCTGGTATTTTGGATCATTACCTTGGCATCCCAGTGAAAGTACCACAGTCTCCACAAATTCTACCATCATCATTGATGATTGTCAGGAAGGGTAGATCATGCCTCTTCCCAACCTCATAATCATTATGATCATGACCTGGGGTGATCTTCACAGCTCCAGTTCCAAAAGCCATGTCCACAAAATCGTCACAAACGATGGGCAGCCTCCGTCCATTGCAGAATGGGTGAATCACATATTTCCCATGCAAGTGCTTGTATCTTTCATCATTGGGGTGAACAGCAACTGCAGTGTCACCTACAATCAGAGAAATAACCAATCTCAAAGCTTTGACTTCCTATCATTCAAGTGCTACAGAATCATCACCATTTTTTTTTTTTTTTGAAAGCATAAATATTTTTGCTTTCTTTCTCTTTAACTCCTCGACTGCTGCACTTAAATAACAAGCATGGAAGTTTCACACTCCTTGCAGTGCTTGCATCAAAGTTTTGTTATAGAGACCCATTACTACTTTAGGCTTCATGAAAGTTAGAGCAAGGCCATTCCCAAGAGGCACTGCACCCTCTAGTATAGTTTTATGGCCACTAAGTTTGAAAAGTTTAGTGGATGCAAATAAGATTTAAAACCACCATGTAAATGAATGGAGGTAATCCTCAAAGATCCTCAATGAATCACTTCTAGTAAATAAGGGCTTATCCTACCCAGCATGGTCTCAATACGAGTAGTAGCAACCACCACTTCCCCCTCTCCTCCTTCCACAGGGTAAGCAAACTCCACAAGTACTCCAACTTCAACTTTCTCCTTGTAGCCTGGGACAGTCAACAGAGTGCGACCATTGACCTCCACTTTGTCCACCTGTAAATGTGGTTTAAACAGGAATCCTGAAGCAGTCAAGCAAAACCAGAGAGTCATTAAACTGATCAAAAGAAAAGTCTCGGAAACAAGAAATAAATGCTTCTGTGAAAATATTGTCTTAGACTGATGGAGCCAAAATCTTCCTCTTAAATCCATATAAAGAAAAATTTCCACAAGCAAGATTTGATCCATACATTTGCATACATCCTTGTGCACATCTACAGGGTACTCTGAGTGACTTTCACTGTCTAGGCAGCTTCAGAGTGCACATGGAGTAACAAAAGGGGAAAATGAGCTATTGGATCAATTTGGCAGAAACTAATGCACATAAACAAGTGTTGCAATGATGCTACTACTATTGCATGTTCTCTCACAGTGGGAATAAAAGCCACCATGAACAGACACCTTGGATATATAGTCAGAATTTAAAAACAGCATGAAGTGAGAGATTCACCTCAGTTCTCAAGAAATACTACACGCAGCAGCTTGGAATGACGATCTATGTTGAAGCCATCCCATCCATGAATAAATTGAATCAATATTGAACACTTTCTATAGTTACATGGGCTGTGTACTGCATTTGCAGGAGCAAATGACCACCCTGACTTGCTTTGATGCATTTTGACAACACCTGATATATTTATGTGCATCAGTTTCCAATTAGTAAAAGAAGTTCAACCCTTAATATTTCCCTTCTTATATCACTCTCCATGTACTCCACAGCAGCCTAAACTGCAAAATTGATTTTTGGAGCATCCCGTACCTTATTCATAGGTAAACACATATATACGTGAATGATTTATCCTCTGTTTTACATCTTGGCTTTGGTCTTGACTCATTAAACCTGATGTCATGAACAGGCTCTCTTCATAAAAAAAACTGGGGCAGAGTATCAGTAAAACCTTGTAGGTTAGTGAGAGTTACCCATGAAGAAATCCATCACATGAGAAAAGTCAAAAGAAAGTGGGAAGAAGGTCTTCTGTCCAGTCATCTATGAGGATTCACTTGATCTCTTCTGTTCACCCCTTTTCTTGTGAGATTCAACAAGAAAAACTTCCCAAGCAAGTATGAGAAGTATCTGATGATCTAATGAAGTATATACGGTGATAGTCTGTTTCATGGAAGATATAGTGTGAAATTTTGAATTAATAACTTTCATTGAAATTTGTAAGAAATTATCCTCATACCAACCAGGCAGCTCATAATTTGTAAATTCAAAAGAAGGATATCTTTTTGCAGTATTGCCAACAACACAGCAAAAAGTATATGAACAAAGCAATTGTATATGCACCTCAATGTCAGATATAGCAGACTTGAGAGTGCAGGACCAGTTCACCAATCGTGTAGAGCGATAAATTGTGCCATCTTCATGCAAACGCACAAATGCTTCTGTAACAGCTCGACAACTTTTCTCATCCATAGTGAAGCAAGTCCTTGACCAATCAAAACTGGAACCCATTCTTCTCAACTGATGATAGATTCTGTCACCTTTCCTGCAACAAGAAGAAGCCTCATTATGGCTTTTAAGTCTATGGCTATGGGAAGAAAGGAAAACACTATTAGAGGGTTGAATACAACCAGACATTCTAGCTAAAAGTGATTCAATAGCAGACACATCTGACAGAGATTTTCTAGATAAAATTCATGCATGGTGATATCCCTGAACTATAAAAAACAATCCTGGATTTCAGCATCCTTGCCTAAACAGTTCTTGAGACATTCTGCTCCAAAGTTAGCCTCTAAAGAGAGGTGGTTTAAGGCTGAACAGCTTTATTCAGCCTTAAATGAGCTAGATAAGTGCTTTTGGGCCCAAATTAATGCTGTGACAAAGCTAAATCAGGTTTATTTTATGCTTTTTCTGTATCTATGTTGCAAAGAAGTGATGAATTTTCAAAACTTAAAAAAATTCCAAAGTTTCAGAATTTCAAACATAAAAACAACCAAATTTAAACAACTTACTTTCCTTCGAACAAAGTAAAATTAAATTTGAAGCCTAATTTTGCCATATTCACTTTCTTCAAAAGCTTATACCTCCTCTTACAAACAAGACAGAAACTTTAAACTAGCATCAAATGAAGCTTTTCTCAATCTTCGCTTGGTCTTGAAGACAAAGGCTGAGTTCCTTTTTGGCAAGGTTTCTTTTTCTCAATAAACTTTTTACTGCAAATTTTAATTATGCACATCGAATGACATTGGTCGACTGGGTTGACTAATGGGATAGGTATCATCTACTTCCCCTGCTACAACTGATTACTCTTCACCACTCTGATGTGGCCACTATTTAAAAGTTTTTCTCAATTCATATTTAAATAAATAAGAAAAACTTATTAAAAAAATGGAGCTGTGATGGTCAAGATAAAAAAAATGATTTTGATTTTTCTAGGCTGAGTGATTCAGTATGCTGCTTCAGAGTTTGTGCAGGTATAAAAACTCGCTGGGGTTCATCACTGGAGTCCACATAAACCCCACAATGTCAAAAATTAAATTGCCCAATGGTATGAGCAGCTCATGAAAAACACCTTACAGGGGTGATAAACATACTGTGTACCATATAACTGTTGAGGTTCCACCCTTGTAAGATGCAAAGTAATCACACCTAATGATGAATGACACAGTATATCCACATCTCCTGCCACCCCTGAGCACAACTCCTGACCTTACCCAAAGCAAGATACTGATATATTAATAAAATTAGTAGGGGAGACTCACTCATTTTTCCACTTCCAAACTTCTTGAACAAAAGCTTCCCGACCAATGTCATGGCGAGAGAGTTGTTTTTCTCTCCAAAGCTTCTTCTCAACAACAACTTGAGTGGCAATACCAGCATGATCACAACCAGGAACCCAAAGTGTTGTTTTACCCCTCATGCGATGCCTATGAATGTAAAACACAATTCAAGGGGACTAAGTAAACAAAATACTTCCATACATTTACCCAATTAGGTATAGTGCAATCAATCTGCACTTTTAGAGAACTTGGAGACGATTATCCTTGATCATTTTCAACAATGAATGAATGCAGTACAAGGGAAAGTGACACTGTCATATAAAATGCATGAATCAACTTTCCACCAGCAATTCTCTTTCTGGGGGTGAAATCATACCATGGAAAATGATCATTCTCCAAAATCAGAACAGATGACCTGCAAGAAAGAAAGAACATATAATATGATTTAGACCTCTTCTCACCATCTAGCAATGGAATCTTCCACAGTATTTGTCAAAGCATGTCCGAGGTGCAAACTTCCAGTCACATTTGGAGGTGGGATGACCATTACAAATTGCCCCTTGGGATTTTTCTCCTTCAAATTTGGATGCTGGGGAAAACAAAGTGGCCAAACACAAAAACTATTAGAAGGTGAGAAATTACACAAATACAGAAGTACAGAATTAGAGGCTGACTTATATTGACATTAGCCAACAAGGTAGACAGAAGAGAGGTAAGTCTATCTGTCTTGCTCTGTCCCAGAGAGTTGCCTTGTGTGATGTCATGAAGGAGCAGGCTTCTGCAACTTTCTTATCAGATCCCTTTGATATATCATGCAATTTGGGGAATGGGATTGAGATCCAGGCTAAATTCACTTCCTTGTCAAGGGTTTGCTCTTTCTAACAAAACCAAATAATCAACAATGCTTGTTTCAAAAGTGAAAAAAAAAATTAAGTTAGTGGGAGGAAAATTTCCAGGTTGAAAGTGATGTCATGAGCAAGGGTGTGATGCAAGCCTTCCATTTGCCCTTTCCTTATGTTTCCTTCTGTTACCAGTGCAATAATTATATATTTTTAAATACATCATGGATGTTTGAATCCAAATCAATGCATATCATGTGCATATGATTTGCAATCTGCATGCTACTTTTTACAGAAGCTACTCCTGATTTGTGAGGTCATTGCAATCAGTGGGATATGTACTGAGCAGAAAACCCATGCTGACTGTTGCTCATTGTCATAGGAAAAGTGGATAAAACTAACTGTAATTTGGTGAGCACCAACATGCCTGCCAATACCTCTACATCAATCACCCATAAATATGGACCAATATTTACTGGGGGAAAATTTGCATGATGCTTGAAGCTAAATTGCTAACAAAAATGTAAGATATGACTTCAAACTTCATAATTCACATACATTGTATTCAGGTTTGAAGAACCCCTGATGCTCCCACCACTGATACCATGCTGCTTCCACATATTCTGGACTATAGGCTTGTGGGAAGGTTGATACATCTTTCTTCTCTCCTACCTGTGTCTTGACCTCATACCTCAAGACATCAGGCTTCTTCTCCTTTGGCTGTTTTTGCTGCGAATAGAAACATGTTATCAAATGTATTTTACAAGTAGGTCTATAGAAAATGACCATTTGCAAATATAATGGACCCAAACTGTAGAAAAATCATTTGTAAACGTGAAATATATTTTCTTGAGTGACATGAAATTCTTTTCTAGACATGGACTCCCTGCAGCATTGCAGAAAACACCCTCTATCCATGTTAAGTTATTACAGAATGAACCCCTTGCAGACAAATTTATTTGATATGCAATCTGAATTTCAGGGGAATACTCAACATAGGACCATAAAGGGTCAAAAAGAATGGATGTCCACAAAACAAAGATGCAGCACAGAACAAATATGCTACAATAATCACTTTTCAACAAATCAGGGTATCCCTTTGGGTATTTCTGAGAAAATACTGTATAGCAGTTGTACCAAGCCAATCAACACCATGGGGAAAAAGTGTTGAGTGATATGTTGCAACTGTTATATTTCACATGTTCTAACTATTCTTATCTTATAAGCCTTTCCCAGAAGCGATGGCCTTTCCTTCTTATAAACTTGGATGAGAGGAAACTGAGTCTCTCACCCAAACCCAGAGAGTTGGCAACCATAAATCTTTCATAGATATGCCCTGATTAATTCGTTCACCTACCCATTTGCAAATGGAAAACTTACAAAAGGAAATCAGGATTTATTCCCTTGAGAGACAGACTTTAACAGAATTTTAAGATATAGTATTGACTGCATGTGCACAATTCAGTAAAGGCAATCCAAACCTAGGCTTACCTCAGATGGCTGAGCAACTTGGGTAGTCTGCTTCTGTTTCTCTTGCTTCTGCTTGAACTTTTCCATCTTTTCTTTCTTTTTTGCTTCCTTTTCTAGCTGCTTTGCAGTCTTTTGAACAGGGGGAACTGGTTCCCCACTTCCAGAGGTGTCTTCCATTTTCAGACTCTAGTTATCCCTTTGCAGAGATCTTAAAGGCTCATTAGTGTAAGCCAACACCTGTAAGTTGCAATTACCAAATAATGCAGTCAAAACAAAGGTCAGCTTAGACTTAGCCAATGTCAAGATGTGATAATGCTAGGCCAAGCTTTAAAAAAGCACAAAAATGGAGATATGGAGATAATATGAGAACATTAACTTCATCATTATTAGTCAAATATGAAGTACTGCACTTTCTCAAATAATGATGTCACTCATCAATCCATTTTCTTTCTGCTGTGCAAGAAACTAAGCAGGTGGACTATTGGTGTCCTTGGTACTCCATGCAAACAAGATCTAGTTTTTTATTCGTATTTTTCCTATCTTCCCTAATCACTCATTTGGATAAGAAGACACACAAAAAGGGGGGTTCAGGGGGTCTAAACCCTTCCAAACCCCTGCTCAATGACAATATATCCCATTAACTTTATAGACTTTTAACTAAGGAAATTGACGAAGTCATCTCCTCCACCCCTTCTTTCTGGGTTGCTTTGCTTTGCTTTCATAGAAAACCTCACATAACTTTATTTTTTAAAGCAAAATATGGATTTCTTTGGGCAAAACAATTTCTCATCATAGAGTTACAGCTACAAGTAAAGGAATGTGTGTTGTGTTGAATGTAAGTCCAAGTAAGTGTAAGTAAGTGTGTGTTGAGTGTAAGTCCAAATTTTAAAGAACTTGAATATATTCTGCAGTGACTCAAGGCCCACCCTTCCATGAGACATAAATATTAATTTGAAATCATGAAGAGACAAGATCCAAGGAAATGGGACCTTAACTCCTCAAATTTAAGCAAATATAGAAAGAAAAGAAGTTTTTTTTATCTCAAAATGTCACCAACTTTTTTTTTATGTAACTGAATAAAAGACTACGATAAACAATTATTGGTTATGTTTTCCAATTTTTAAACTTTCTTTATGTTTGGAAGGTAAGGACAGTTAATGCTCATGGTGACATGCTGGCATGGTTGATGTGAATCTATTATTAAGGGTGAATATGACATTAAAAATGGACTGCAGAATATGGGGAGTTGGGAGTGCTAGTTAGTTTCAGATTCATGAAAATATCAAGAAGATGCTGGGAACATTGGCCTGAGTGACACCCAAGGACGAAGAGCAAACAGAGTAGTACGAGATAACATCACTATTGGTTCTGTTTACCAGTATGGCCACCATCGCACCATCAGAGCAGGAGGGCAGAGCAGAAGGCAGTATAGATATCAAAGAACCATTGCTGGGAACTTGGCAATTAGGGACTTTTGTGGTTTCAGTGACTGAAGTGAATGGTGAACATGTGATGTGGGGGGCTTTTGCCCTCAGCCTTCATCATCTCTTATCGAAGCCCACCTGTGATCATTTGCCTTAACTGAATAAAAAATATTCACTACAATCAATCACCAGAATATCTGAGCTCCTGAATAGGGATGGGGCAGTCATTTGACCATCTTTTAATTGACCATTAATTTTTTTAATTCAGTGAATTAATATATTTTTATAGAGCTCATAACTGTGGTCATTTATCCCCCAGCACTAAAACAAAAGAGCCAGTTCAATTTTTAAGATTTGTTCATGCAGCCTGCCAAACACCTAGACTGTGGCACCTGTTGCGTATGAAAACATTTTAGCAAATGCTCAAACTACCATGACCTTTCACCTGAGTGATGCAGAGTGTGGGTATAGGCATAGCTTGCTGTTCAAAGTTTTATAGCCTCAAGGACTTTCAAAGTTAAGGTTCAAGATCTAAGTAACAGCTTTAGAACTTTAGTTTAATGCAAGGTCAATCATGGTCCTGNGCATAGCTTGCTGTTCAAAGTTTTATAGCCTCAAGGACTTTCAAAGTTAAGGTTCAAGATCTAAGTAACAGCTTTAGAACTTTAGTTTAATGCAAGGTCAATCATGGTCCTGGCTAATAGTGTGCATCAGAGCATCAAATTATTTTCAAAGTCTGTGATCATGGGACAAGTACTTGGGTTATGCCTATGCCTATGCCAAAAAAAAATTAATCTAGCTATGAAACATGATTCAGTACTGTTTCCCCTATAGATTGCATGAGTTGGAACATTAAATTTATCTTAGCTATGAGATGTCGACTGGTCAACATGGTCATTTATGATCATATAGTCATGAGGCCTAACCTCTTGTTGGGCTCATAACCATTATTTTCTGCAAATGGTCTAAAATGACCATGTTTACCAGTCAACTTCCCATCCCTAGTCTATCATTTGTGAGTCATGACATATATAATGATGCAAAAACTACAAACATATTGACTGGTCAATTGACCAGTCAATTGACATGTTTTTAATTGACTGGTCAATAACCCATCCCTACTCCTGAACAACTTAATCTGCATGTGTTGTTCAAAAGCCATACACTCTACTAAAATGACTAAGGGTGGATTTTTGAACCGAGCTCTAAAATAATCCTGCTCTATTGGATAATACAGCTCCACAAAGAGGAGCATTATTTTTTCGATTTTTGAACTGGCCAGATAATGCTGCATTTGACAATGCTCTATTATAATAATCCTCGATTATTTTAAACACAACATGAATCGTTACACGAAATGCAATTCACCATCACTTCGCATTTTACTTCTTCGTGAATGACCCTGCACGATGACGAGGAGTAGTGGAGGACTCTATTCCTAATATATCTATTAGACCTGAAAAACAAATTTTCAGTGAAAAAATATGTCAAGGAATTAACACGAAGCGATACGATGCAAGCCGTGCAGCCCTTCCATTGTGACTGATGAAAATAATCCAACATTATCGACGAAGGAGGGCCTCTGGACCTACTCTATAACAATCACGAACTGATGTCTAAATAAAATGGAGCATTATGGAAAATGCTTGGTTCAAAAATCGCTTCTTTGATAATAGAGTATTTTCCTGGAAATAAAGCTGCATTATCGGATAGTGCTCTGTTCAAAAATCCACCCTAAGAGTTCTTTTAGATACCAAAATAGTTCAGCCACAATGTTACTTTTATGAATATTTATGAATATTTTTATGAATATTTATGATAAATGTAATACTAGTATCACATTTATCATTAATGACCCTATGCCTCAATATAATGCTTCTGGACAAAGTTAAGCCTACCCACAAAAAACACTGGAGTTGTCCAAGTCAACAGTAACTTCATGACAAAATTATGCCATTGTGAGAGAAATGAAAATAAACACAGCTAAATGAAAGGACATCTATCACATTTTATGAAGACATACTTTCCTATGATGACAGGAAAAAAGCCTGCAAGATGCATAATCCATTATTTCTGCTTCTTATTTCATAAACCTAGGACTTAAAAATTCAAAGGTGCCCCTCCCACTTATAACCACTACTCAAAGAAGCCACTTGAAACAATATATTTGATTACTTCAATTCATGACCCTACAATCCCAATAATTTCCCATTATTTTCTAACCTAAATGACCCACAAATTTCTAAAATTGAAAAAAATATATACATATATAGCTGCAGAGAGAGAAAATGATAAAAAATTATATATATACACGGTGGACCAAAAAAAACAAAGCTATCACTTTTGGTAAGTTGTCAATCTGATTGTAGGCTGCCAATTTTAATGAAATGTGATAGACACAGGGTGACTCAAGTAGGGTTTTTGTACCAAGTTTCAAATAAAAATACCAAAAACTGAGATTGGCATTTACACTTCATCACCAAAAAAGTAGGCATTCATTTTTTCTTTCAGCTTAAAATCAATCACAACTGTCAAAAACAAACAAGCAAACAAACAAAACAAAAACAATTGCACAAATGCCAAACATGAAAGCACACAATATGGTTTAGGGATGTTCATTTCAACTGAATAGGTGCTCAATGTATCCTCCATTCTGTTGAACACAAGCCTCTAGTCTGGGGCACTACAGTTCCATGGCTCGGTCAATAAACCTTTGAGGCATTACCTCCAATCTTCCTTTGTAGCATCATGCAGGGATGGAAGTTCATGAATTCTGACCTCCCTTTCATCCCAGCCTAAAGTTGATATTTTTGACAGCACATTTTGTTGTTGGTCATCAGAAAATAATTATAGCTCTCAAAACTTTTGAGTCAGAGAGCTGAAACTTGGTATACAAACTCCAATTGTGTCACCCTATAAGTCTACCAATTTTAACTAAAATCAGCAGCCTACAAGGAGATTGACAACTCGCCAAAGATGACAGCTTAGTTTTTTTTGGCCCACCCTGTATATAGAAAATAGAGACCCAGAGTGAAAAAATTATTTTACACAACTGCTACTCCTACCTGATGCATACCCAAAATGCACCATGAAGCTCCTATAGAAATCACTTCCATAATAATAATAATAAATCAAACACTGCCCTTTAATACCAACTCCAAAACAACAAAGTCACCATGTCAACAGAAAAAACAAATAATCTTCCCTGCTCAACCAAGGGAAAGGGAAAAGGAAGTGAGCATACCCAAGGCTTTCTTGAATCCAGTAATATTCAAGGCAGCATATTTACTATTCTCCTCATATCCCTATTGCTTGTCCCTCCTTTGAGAGTAAGAGTTGGTGATCTAATGGCTAATGACTTGGATTTCAATACCAAATCACAACATTTTAACCATAATCACTACTCTTGCTAAATGTTGTCATTCTAAGAAACTGAATTTCAGGCAAATTAGATTGCTGAAGGTGGAGTTATATGAAAAAATCCCCAAGTGAGGGGATTTGTCCTGGGAAAGACCTGAGCGGGATGCCCTGAATAGAGTAATTGCTATCTAGGGTATATTAACTTTGATGAATCAAATAGGTGACTTGATGCTGGTCTACCTTAAATTTTTTAGGCCTGAGTCTTGAATTCGGCTGATGGATAGCCTATGAAGCAAGAAGCTCAAGTTCCTTTGCCCCATCATGGGTCCACAGGTCACAATACTGTATGTCTAACTTATCCTATGGTGCACCAAGCCTTATGCTATACGTTTGTCTAACCTAGGCCTCTATATGGGTTCACAGGTCTGGGCTAATCGCACTTCTTGTTAGGAATGACCCAACTCCCCGAGGACTTGCCGTCATCCTACGACCTGCAAGCTACGATGATGCAATTCGGCTCAACTTCAAGAGCTCCAGCGGGAAGAACGAAGGGTGTTATTGGATGATTGAAACCCTTACTAGTTGCACAAGGCCGCTCGACGCGGTGAAATGTTACGAATGACACGAGCAATTCCGGGGATTGAATCATTCCCAGCCACGTTGCGCCCGGCTCATCCTGTAGGGCACGCCTGCCTGCAGGCGGCCATGCTCTCGCCGATGCCGTTCGGCCGTAGCGCGCGTAGGCTACGCGGTGTTCTTCGCTCGACTCGGACACTCCAGCGGGAGGAACGTCCCACGCGTGAGCGTCCGGGTCGAGGGAAAAAATACCGTGCATGCACTGTGTTCGGTTGGCTTCCGACCCCGTTTCGCGTCGACGGTGATGTAACCGTTCCGGAAATCCTGCCTTTTCAGAAGATGCAGGGAGACGAATTCGGTCCGATTCCCGCGTTCGTCGCTGCTCTCCCGGAGGCATCGCGAAAGCCCAAACGGAAGGCTAAAGGTGGGTTTATACTGAACGGAAAACGGCGCGAAAACCGGATGGCGAAATCTCGTCAAACTTGACAACGGAAATTTCCGCGGTCGCTTTCGCCGGACAGAAGGCAATTTATATTGAGCGGCCGCGCTTCTAGCTGGAGAGATTCGACATCATTGTACTGGAGGGAAATTAAATGAAAACCAGGCAAATATTGCAAGCCAATTATCCGCAACAATAGAGATTTCCAAATAAGGTAAGTTACCTAACGGGGGTGTTTCAGAAACAATGGCGCTCTCAGTATTTATTGCATATCTCTGTCGTTTCAAGCCCCTCTTTCTTGATTTTTTAAATCATAGTTTCTCTGTACAATTCTCTGCAAGCCCGTATCGTCTCATTTTATTTTCGTCTGCTACCACCGTCATTCTCCACGACAGCTCGCAAACGAGACGCCCAAGACACGAGATTCCCACTTTCTTCGGAATTCGCTTCGGCCACTTTCGGCCAATACGGCCACTTTCGGTTCCCGCAATGGCAGTCCGATGGTCTCGAGTCGATCGGAAGGGTGGCAAGAGAGTGGCAAGAGGCAGACAGCAGGCGATGGCCTGTTTTGAGAGGGTGTTCGAAAAGGTAAGACTCTGGTCGTGCTCGGCGTCAACGAAGATGGGCACGCGGCCGAAGGGTGGACCAAAAAAAAAACTTGGGTGATCTTCATCACTTCACGACACTGGTCTCCAAGAGTTTGCTAAAATTATAATAGTGCCTCCACGAAGAACATTCATTTAGCTTTCGAATGATGTCGACAAAATAAAGATTTGTGGCCTGACTCCCAAGCAGTTAGACGAAGAGTAGAAAAGGTGGCGCCGGAAAAGTCGGTGCCACGCTGCGATTCGAGCCAGTGCATGCAACAGGTCACATTCTCGCCATAAACGAAAGGGTGAGTGCACTTCTCAAAAGCACTGCCTCTGTTACGTTGTGCGTGACTGCATCGGAATGACAAATCGGATCTGAAATCTTTTGACATCGGTGGAAGGCTAAATGAATGTTCTTCGAGGAGCCACAATGATAATTTTAGCAAACTCTCGGAAACCAGTGCCGTGGAGCGACGAAGATACGGGACCGAAGAGTTTGGAGCCGATTTGGATCTTTCGGCAGCGCTCGTCGCCGTCACCATTCGACTCGAAAGCGGTGTGAAGACGATTTCCCTGCCCTTCTCGAGAAACACCATCGGCCCTCGAATTCTTCCGATTTGAACCCATTGGACAATCTCACAGCCCTCGAGTGGGATCGCGTGAGCAGAAACGGGACTGGCATTCGAGTACCGAGTACCGAATCGAGTACCGGAATCGGCCGTGAAGCGAATTCCGAAGGAAGTTAAGAGTGAATTTTTTTTTTTTTGTCTTGGACGTCTCGTTTGCGAGCAGTCGTCGAGAATGACGGTGGGAACAAACGAAAATAAAGCTATATGGGCTCGTAGGGAATCGTCCGGAGAATATCTATGAAAGATCGAGACCGAGGGGCACGAAACGACGGAAATATTTCACGAGTACCGAGAGTGCCATTGTTTCTGAGACACTCGTTGATTTCCAGCCCAGTTGGACCGAAGGACTCGAATTGCATGCGGGGTGGCGACCTGGACTCACCCGGAGGTTAAATTCTTTCCCGATGTTTTCCGACCGATTCTTCTTCGTTACCTCGTTCTTATTTGCTCGTTTGATTCCGTGCAAGAGGGGGAAGTCCGTGCTCCACGTTCAACTTCTCCGAGTCCATATTTGACCGTTTCTGCCGAAACGGATATTCCGCTCCTTCCGTCGACGGGGTCCGTCGAAGGTCAACGGCTTCCGTTTACCGCCTTCCGCGCCGTTTTCCGCTTTCCGCGCCGTTTTCCGCTCGGTATAAATCCACCTTAAGGACTCGCGGGGAAGATGTGCGGACGCCTTCCACGCCCCCTCACGTCGGACCGCGTTCGCCGCGACGTGCTGCGAACCGAGACGCGAATGCCGGAACCGCTTTCGGTGAATGGTCCTTCGCGAATCCGCGGGAAAAAAATGAGAAAACTCGAAGGCCCTTCCATGGCGGCCTGGCCGTGAAACGGCTCGCGCCGACCGTCGTGAAGTGAGACTTTCTGCGGATTCAGTCGCGAAACGACGGGAGTGTCCTCCGTTTTCTTCCATGAGATGGGGGAATCTTTAGGATTATTTTCTCCCCTTGCAAACAAATGGACAAAGAGCAGAAGCGATTCTGGGGGGGGGGGGGCAAGGGCAGGTGAAGTACTGTAACAGGGGGAATGATAAGTTTCGTTTGGTCTAAAGATGTCAATAATTCTTTTTAGGTTTAATGGTCCGGATTCTCCCTAACGATGGAAGTTGTACGACGAAATTCGGCAGGAACGAAGGTCGAAAACCGAAATGCGAATAATTGAGAGTCGCGCCAGGAAACGCGGAACCCGTCGAACGGAGCCTTTCGCAGGTTTCCCCGCAAAAAACCGGTGACGTCATCGTCGGTCGGGTTTTCTGCGTCTCGATTTTTCTTGGATCGATGCGACCCGTTCGGTCGCGCCAAGGTGCCCGCGCGATCCTCGGGGGCTTCGTTCGTGAGGGGCACCTTGGGGGCGAGACGTGCGTCCTCGGCGTTTTCTTTCATCCGTTTTCGCGGAAGGTGTCGCGTTCAGTGGGGCGGGGGAGAAACGGGGAGAGAAAGAGGCGGCCGGGTGGAACGGGCTCTTCCGGGAGCGCGTTCTTTCCGAGCCGGTGGGGCGGAAGGACGTGCGGTGGCGGGTGCTTCCGATCCGTGCGGGGAATCCCGGATGAGAGGTGGGAAAAGTGCCGACATCATCCGGGGGGGCTCGGGGGGCACGGGGGCACGGAAGATCGGCAGAGGCTTCAGACGTCTCCGTGATCCTCGCAGTTCGCAATGTTCGGACCTGGGTGTCTGACGTTCTTCCTCTGCGCGTTCGTCGCCGTCGAGGCGGGGTCGCAGTCCTTGGGGTCGGAGGCCTCGACGACGCCGAGGTGCGACGGACCCAGCCCGCCGGAGGCCCTCGACCGTACGTGAGATCTCGCCTCGCGCCGTCCGTGATTCGCCCCGCGCTGATCGCGATTCGCCGTGTCGTTGCAGTCGCGTCGGTGCCGTGCGGCGGGAAGGCCCTGCGGTCGTGGAAGTGGCCGGTCCCCCTCCCCTCCGGCGTCTCCTTGTCCGGCATCTGGGCGTCCGCCCTCAGGCAGATGGGCCTCATCGTCCACGGGGAGGACGCCGCCGCCGGGGAGTTCCCATTCATCGCGACCCTCAACTACAATTACGGCTCGCAGCTGTATTTCATCTGCGGGTGCAACATCATCAGCGACCTATACGTCGTCACTGCGGCTCACTGTTCCGCGTGAGTGCCGGAACGCGTCCGTTCCCTTCGCGCGAATTGATATTCCGAAGCGCTCGTCTCGCGGAGAACCATCGGCGAAGGACTTTCGTTTTTTAAATGAATATTTTCTTGTTTGATTGATTGATTTATTTTAAGTTCATTTCCGGGCAATATTTTCGCGCGATAGCGGACCGGCCTCATCCTACACGGTGAAAATCCGAAAGTACGACATCAGGAGGAGCACCACAACCAAAGAAGACTCACAAGATCAGACGATCGCGGTCGACGCCGTCTTCGTCCACCCCTCCTACAACTGTGAGCCCCCCTGTCCCCCCCCCCCCCTGCCCCCCCTGCCCCTCACCCACGTGACCTCACGGGACTCTCTTCCCCCCGACAGCCTCGCTGCTGCGGAGCGGGCACGACATCGCGCTGATGCGGCTGAAGGAGAAGATCCAGTGGAACGCCTACGCCCAGCCCATCTGCGTCGCGAAGACGGACGACGAGGCGGTGTTCGGGAACCCGGAGACTCGGAACATCATCTACGGGTGGGGGCGACTGTACACTGGTTCGGACTATTTTTTTTTTCTTTCATCATTTCAGGGCGTGTTTTTTTTTACGATCTGTGAGGAGAGAAATGACATTTTTAGTATTTTTTTAAAAATTTAATTCGATGAAATAAAGAGATGAAATTAACTCTGTTGCTACCGAACGTGTGTTCTACTCTTTGTTTCATCTCTAGGTTCCCAAAGAATCTTTTCAAAATATTAGTCTTAATTACTATCACGTGTCTTCGTGAAAACATACATATAGAACTTCTCAAGTTCACGGTGCACCCGACACGAACGGCTAAATTTTTGCGTCGGGATCAATTTGACCCAGAACGGTAATCCCAGAGATAAAAATAAATCAAATCAACGAGCGATAGATAATTAAATGAGATTAAAATAGATGACGGTCGGGGATTTCCGCATCGGGATCGTTCTTAGGTGGTCCGGTCGCATCGAACCTGCAGAAACTGGACGTGAAAATCATGGATCAGAAAACGTGTTACGACAAGGGGAACACGTTAGCGACCGACGGGCGCCTCGTGTGCATCCTGGGGATTCCGGATGACGTCGGCGGCGCCTGCAACGTGAGTCCGTTCGGGTTCGCCCGGGTTCACTTGGGTGGGTGGAGCGGAAGGGGGATGGTGGGGTGGGGGGAGGGGGGTGAGTTCTGCTCGGTGGGGGGTTTTGGGGTAAATTCTGAAGGTCGGGCTCGATCGGTGTCGGTTGGTTTGTTGTCGAGGGCGACGGGAAAAGATGAACGAGGCGTTTCTTTGTTGAAGGGAGCAAAAGAGATGTGGGTCGTCGACGACAGAGTTCCTTCAAGCGATTTCCAAGAACGTTCCCTTGCTAAAAAAAAAATCACAACGAAAGGAAAAATCTGCATAATCGCAGGAGTGATTCGTCATGACACTTCATCGTTTACGACTTCGTGTGTAGGGTCGGATTCGGGAGCGATTCCATCGACTCCTATCTCGTTACGCGAGAACTGCTCGGTCAGACTATTTGCAGATAGGGTAATGGAAAGCATGCCATAGGTAATTAGGAGTGACGTCATCGATGCATTTCCTTCGAGGCTACACGTCTTCGCTTCGCGATGGATGGAAACCTCATGCAATTACTAAATACCGATAGCGTGACTTGAAGGCTGTCGCAGTCCAATAGTACTTACGAGTCCTCCACCCCCTCCGACGTGACCGCTGACGTGACCTCCCATCTGCTCCCCAGGGTGACAGCGGCGGCCCGTTGGCGACGGCCTACAGGAGCACGGCGTACCTCACGGGCCTGACCTCGTACACGATGGGAACGTGTGCCATCCAGGGGGTGCCGGACGTCTACACCAGGCTCTCGTACTTCGCGGACTGGATCTACCAATACGTGAAGGGGAGTTCGTGATGGCGTCCTGGACGTCTTGCGAGGGTCCTCGGCCTCGTGGAAGTGTCTTGCAAAAGCGTCCAGTGCTTCGTGAGTGCCTCGTTGGCGAGCGTCGTGTTTCCGCGCGTCTCGTCTCCCTATTCGGTGAAGTCTCTCTCGCAGAGAGAGCGTTTTCTCGTTGCTGTCTGTTTGCGTGTCCGTCGATACGGAATAAAGGAGAAATTCTGGTCGAGAACTCGAGCAGTTGCGTCTTTCTCCGGAAGGAGCCGTCCGAAGCCATGTCACCGACCCGGGTTTCGAGCTTTCGAAGCTTTCGATGTTCGTTCCGCCCGGATGAAAGAGATGGAGAGACAAGAAAGTACAAACTCGAAGGGTTGGAGCAATTCTACCGAAAGAGTTGCGTCTAACTTGATGGGGAACTTGGGGGGGGGGGGAAGACTCCGTAAAAGCACCGACGCAGGGGACCCGCGACCCGCGAGTTCCAGTCCCTATCGTGCTCCAGCCGATGTGGCACACCATACTAGCTCGCATAGGTCAGCCCGAGAAGTACTTCGCACTTCGAACCAACAACCTTTCCCCCCGTGACGAAGAGATGTTCGCAACAGCGGTTTCCAACATCGTAAAATCGGAAGCAGGAAGAGGAAATAAAAAACGAACGATGTCGGCGGCTCGTCGGGGTAAGGCACGTCAGGCCTAACCTGGATCAAACAAGGAAGAAATCACCAAGAGCTACCGTGAATTGCAAGTCATTTTCACTTCACTTTTTATTCTACTCGATAAAGTTTTTAAGAATGCCTCCCGATATAATAATCGTTGAACTTCCTTGCTGCAGTCGACAAAATTAGATGAAGGTGTGCGGGCAACGCCACAAGAGACCAGACCGGGCCAGACCGGGCCAGACCGGGCCAGGCTCTCTCGGGGGTCCGTCGACCCGGGTTTCCCCTCCCCCGAAACGGGTCAGAGCAGTCCCTGCCTCGGCCGGCCTCTCCACGGCCCAACCGGCTCCGATCCGCTAGAAGCGGGACGGAAGGGTCGAGAAGAAATGAGCGGTCGCGAGACGAAGCGAACGAACCGAGACAGAGGCCCGAGCCATGAGGCCTCGGTGCTACGGAGCAAAATCGATGCACATGCCAAATCTAGCCAAATCGATACTATAATATACAGTACAGGTATTAACACAGGTAGTACAGGGTGCTCATAAAAAACGTACACTTTTGAAGTTGAATACCTCCGGAACGGAAAGGCATGACTGAAATTTTAGGGGGGATACTCAGGGTGTCATGGGATTTTATTTGAATCTGTTTTACGAAAATTTTCCAATATATTCTCCCCCCATATTTGCACAACATAGACGATCGTGAGTGAGTGACCAACGCAAATTCTAACCGTGTTCTAGAAATGATGAGAGGCTGAAACTTGGTACACGAGTGGCTGTTAGATTCCTGACACCAAAAAAATGCCAACTTCGGAGGTAAATGCCCTCGAGGCACCAATTTTTTTGGGGGGGGGAGATGTTTCCTTATATTTGCTTTAGTCAAACGGAGAGGCATGGAAAGCTGAAACTTGGCATGGACTTTGAACTGAGACTTTTTCCTGAGAGTTCAGGAAAAATGTCAAGTTTCTGATGCATGCCGTGTGGAGATATTTTCAGGGATGACATTCTTTGATTTTTTTTTTTATCCTTGCGAATTGAGCAGAAGTAAAAGTTGAAACTTGCCACATGCCTAATTGGTATAAAGTTGAGTTCAGGAAAAATTTAGCTCTTGTGGTGCAGCCTCTCAGGGCTTAGCTTTTGGGTGGGTGGGCTTATACAGGGTGCCCCATAAGTCTCTACACATTTCAAACTGCAATATTTTCCAAACTGCAACAAGCAGGTCATTGTTGTTAGCATTGATGGAAAGAACATCCTTTAGAAATATTTTCACGGTTATTAATGAGCATCAGATCCAAATGGAAATTGCTCCGAATGCATATTTTAAAGGTGTACCTATTTAGGACGAATCATGGTACACCTTTTCCCATCCTCCCTTACAAAATAGCTAATTTTTATGTTCTCTCCTAAATTCAGATCGACTCGAGAAACAAAAAAAAATCATTTTGTCGAATTTGCTTTTGTTGTCATGAGAAAAGGCTTCGCAATTGACGCTGGAGTAATGAGGAAATGTTTCTACCCGGATGGAGGTCTTTGAAAGACCCGTCAGAGTTCAATGGGAGTTTAGGCGATACTTTGGCGCCAAGCCATTCCAAATGTATTGGTGTAGGCAGAGACCATTGTGAGGCATTGTGATTTTTTGAAATTGTATAGTGACTTATGGGACACCTTGTATATAGACTATCGTGACTGAGCGACTGACTGACTCACTTACGCTAATTCTAACGATGTTATAGATATTATGGATGGATGAAATGTGGAACTAGGGTTTCTATTAGGATGCTGAGTCCAGAAAAATTATAACTTTGAAGGTATATGCCCTGGAGGCACGGATTTTGGAGGAAAATGTTTTTAAATATATATATACTGTATATATTTTTTTTTTGCTTCAGTCAAATGGCGAGACATGGAAAGCTAAAACTTGGCAGGAATTTTACTACTGGCACACGGAGTTGAGGAAAAAGGTCAAGTTTCAAATAAATCAAGTGGAAGCATATTTTTTTAGGATGACATTTTTTATTAATTTATTTTTGCCCTGATTAATTCAGCAGAAACACAGGAGTGAAACTTGAAACACACATAACTGACATGATGGTGATTTCAGGAATAAGTCAAATATTGTGGTGCATCCCCTCAGGGCACAGCTTTTGTTCTCTCAAAATATATTTTTGCACAAGCAAAAATGGCAAAGGAATAAGAATGAAACTTGGTGGGCTTGGACTTCTCTCAGTACCTATTTATGCAAAACATTATTTTTTAGATAAAACCTCAGGAGGAAAATACTTTTCGTGAAAGGTGCATTTTCCATTATCATCCATGATCGAATAAAACAGAACGCAATAGAAAGCTGAAACTTGACTCAGAAGTACCTGTTCAATTGCTTAGAACAGAAAAAAATCCTATTTTGAAGTATATCTCCTCAAGGCAAATTATGGGAGGGAATTATTTCAAGATTTATCTTCCCTTCCGACAAAAAGGATCACATGAAGAAATTTCAAGTTAAGCACACAAGAAATCATCAAAGTAATGATTTCGATAATTAAAAAAACTTCGTGACGTCACTTCATGGCACACATTTCGATAGGGAAGTATATTACGTTTTTGTCACCTCGAAAATGAAATGCAGAATTAATCAAGATTCTGGATAATGGATCGCCGAAGGCGCAACCAAAGCGAGTTTAGTACAACATATACTGTACGTGAATGATATCCCAGAAAATCTGCACACGTGCTCAATGTCCCAATACGCTGATGATATAGCTCTGTGGTACAGTGACCGAACCAAAATTAAGAACCGAGTACAAAACTGAGGAAACATCCACAGATAATGCCTAACATAAGGAATAAAAATTAACGAACGCGAAACACCTGCAATGATGTTCACAAATAGACACCGCAATAGGAACAAGAAGAAAGATCCAACTAGAAAGGAAAACTATTACCCTAGAAAAGACAGCAACATTTCTCAGAAAAGACTTGCAAGAAAAAGGGAACCATACATCACACTTCCATTTTTTAACTGAAGAATGACGGCTATAAGAAGATTAACATTACAAGATGCCTCACATGTCCTCTCTGGATATCGATGAAAAACACGTAATACACAACACAACATATTTAAAAAACATTTCACTAGATCCAAAATTGAATTTTGTGCACCCATATTAATGTCAGCTAAAGACAAACGATTACAAAACTCCAAGAAATCCAAAACAGGGCAACCAAGCTGGACAACCAATAACTGCTGCAAATTCCAACAGAAAAAGTTGATTAGCTGGAACCATTCCTAATTCACGGAAATCATCGGGGGAACACATATGACCAACGGGCAACCTGTGACTGCTATGTGAGTAGGAGAACATGCAAGCATAATCCACCTTGATACACTATACCTGTGGTCTGAATGCATGACTTCAGTGGCAGGGCCAAAAATAATACAGGAACATACAAATGGTATGGTCAAAGCCTATAGACGGACTGAAGACGACAATCATCGTCTCTACGCTGAGGTTACTGACACAGTCAAACGGAAAAAGAAAAAGAAACACGAGTAATGTAGCATGCAATATCACCAAAAAGTCATTCCGCAATGCACACAGCCTTTCTTCGGTGCGGTCGGACGGTAACGCTGATACATCCTGGACGTACGAGGGTATACGAGTACTACTCAACGCTTACAATTGGGACAAATGAGTACACATTGTCATTACTAAGTCCTATTCATACGTGACTAAACAATGACGATGACTTACAGTTCTACGGGAGGTTCTGATACTGTGGCATGTCTACGAAAAAGCCCCTCCGTTCAGAAGCATCATCCAACTGCATGAGGTCCAAAGCATCAGACAAGCAAATGGAAAAGGGAACCACCACACACACATGTCCCATTGGAGTACTTCTGATCACCTTGTTCGCTTCATTCGCCACAACCATTCCGTTGGTATCGACTTTGAGTGTATGTGCAGGTGAAAGATCGACTTCCCTTTCGCTCTCATTGAGTGAAGCGACCAACGAATGGAAAACCAAGTGTAAAACTGGAACATCAGGGTCTCACTTGGACCTCACAATAGAAACAAGGGGAAATGAGGTGATGAAAGCACTCATTCACATTCTTAGATGAGTCTGTCGTGATACGCGTGCCAATGAGGAGAGGCGAAGATGGACAACACGTGTTCTAGGGGCAGAGACTAGTTGTTGTAGAGACTAGTGTTCTAGGGGCAGAGAGAATGATTTGCATTCAGATTGTCATCAAAGGTAATGAAATATCTACCTCAAGTGGATGAAACGTTTCCTTTTCTCTGATGGCATCGAACTCTTCAGCATGACTGGATATCACATTCTTCCCTGTCGGGATCAGTTCCAGCTCCATTATAACACCAAGGCCCGCCCGGATTGGCATCAGGATTCCGGCAAAAGTTGTGAGACGGATGCAAGTCGTCCGGGAATGATTTAGTTTTGATATACTCATTTGCTTCTAATATGTAATTGGGTGAAAGGCTCATCCACAGCTGGCAGGGGTAACCTGATTTCGTAACATTCTTCGTTCCCATATACTTCCTTCCTCTTTGGTTATTTCTGCACTCCAATGGACCTGGTTTCAGAAGAAACAAAGGCGGAATGCAGTGGCGGCGCGTGGTTCTTGCTGTAGGCCAGGGACGTAGCCCAAGAAGGAGGCTGTCATGTCTCTCACCCCCCTTTCCCCTAGCTTACAAAAGGTTTTTAGGCCCTCAAAAAATGAGACTCTCGGTACACTTCTGGGTCGAGCCCAGGATGCCAAGGAAATATATGTGATTGAATCAAGGAGAAGGATGTTTTTTAAGCACGGGTCTTGAACGAAGTAGAGCGCTCTGACTGCCAAGTGCAGAGGGCGCCCAAAAACGAATCAAATTTTCTCGGGACAAGTCGAACCTGAGTTTAGAGTGTCGTTCATTTAAATATCTGGCAGTCTAGGCTCAAACAGACAGGGCTCAACATGTTGGGCTTTGTCTGTTTGAGGCCTGTTACCGAACTGCTCGTATTTTCTCCTTCAACATCACTTCTTATTGCAACCTTTCGTTCGTCGAGTCGTGACTTTCTGGAGTGGGAAATGTTCATTCCTAAATATTTCCTGCAACCATAATTTCTCTGAATTGCTTATTTAACCGTAATTTCAAGTTCATTAAAGGTGTCGGTAGTACTCCTATTCATTTCTTTTAGAAGTTAGTTTCATGATTGGCACGAACGAACAATTATAATTCCATCAACTGGCCATTGGTTCAATCCCAAGCAAATAGTCTCTGACTCGTCCCTCTCTTTCCCATTTCTCAAGCTTTCATCATTCATTCATCCCGAAAGCAGGAGTTTTCGCGTCATCTTATTGCAAAATTTGGAGTTATGACGTGGGCCTTCCGTTCCCGAAACTTTTTCGCCTCCTTTCGTCACTTCTTGAAGAAAAATTACGTTTTAAGTCGGCAATGATGTCTCCCGCTTCTATCATTATGAGTTTGCAAGGGCCTGTAACACGGTACAAAATATGACATGATCACTTCCCTTCACGTTACACTCCACTTGATCATCGGTAATATGCAAGAAAACATATGCAAGCCATTAAGATGTTGCTTAATTCTGTATATTCCAGAATTTAAACATTTTCCTATCACATTCGAAAGTATATATATTTTTAATATAATGTATGATTCAACAAAAAGAGAAAGACCCACTCATGCAATTTCCTGATACGCGAATATCGCATCGTTCTCCTTCTGTCCTAGGACAAAAGGGAACGTCGCAATATTCCCACACATCCCTGTCATACGATTTCCTAGAAAAACACCATGGACCATGGCCTTTGGCATCAGGGTTGCGGCAAAAGTTGTGGCTCCCATCAACTTCATCTGGAAATGCCGATAGTGATTTCCAAACAGAATCGTGATCATTTGGAAATTGTGCCAGCCAATGTTGGCACGGAAATCCCGAAATGGTCGTGTTCAGTCTTCCGACATATTCACCGCCGCTCGGCGTCAGCTTGCATTCGGGCGGCTCTAAAAAGAGAATGAAACTTCATTCAAGTTGTTAAGCAAAATATTTCACCACGATTAAATTGAGGGACGCACCGAGGTTATGACAGAAGGGAATGTCGCAGTATTCCCACTTGATGTCAGGGTCAGAGACGAAGCACCATGGCTTCTCCCTGTACAAAGCAGGGTTCCGGCAGTAATTCTTATGGATTACTGCGTCCACATTGATGAAGTGATCCGAATATCCCATTTCCTGGTTGAAGAAATCCCATGGCATGCCATACGGCTTAGTTTCCCAATCGAGACAAGGCTTTCCAGTCTCAGTCACATCCTTCATCCCGACATATTCCTTTCCTTTCTCTGACAGTCTGCATTCAGGATACACGTTCCCCTTGGGTCCAACTTGAACTTCTTGGATCTCGCAGAAGGGAATTTCACAGTATTCATAGTTAAAAGTTCTACTTTCAACGAAACACCAAGGCGCACCGTCTCCATCAGGGTTGCGACAGAAGTTGTGAGTTTCCCCAGTCTCTCTGTAATCCGGAAATGCAGGAATGAAGAACGTCCCAATTCCAGAGATTGTGGTTGTCCAATTTTTCCCCCAAGGTTTGCATGGGAATCCTGAATGGCTCACGTTCTTCCTTCCAATGTACTCGCCTCCCTGTTGAGTTATCTTGCACTTTGGGGGGTCTGTTCATGAAACAATAGGTATCGGTTATTGGGAATTGCATCTCCACAGAAAGTGACCATCGTCCAGAAGTTGTGAGAAACGAAAGGCTGTGAGATACGATCGTCCATTAGGAGATATGCTGTGGGATTGGGGTGGAAACATGAAAGTGTAGTAATAACGTCACACCTAGGACAAACAAGCTTTCTTTGTGAAATAAGCATGTACTCATGAGTAAACCTAGAATTGGAAAAATAACAAGACTTCATAATCATTCCTCATGCAGAAGTTCGCGAGTGATTGGGTGACTGACGCTTATTATTGGCTTCTTTGCGAATAGAAATAAACATGAAACATTTTTACTTGGGAGGAATTTGTGGCGGCTAATACCAGAAGATCTTAATTTTCAACTAAAGTACGGTACATTACTTTTAGTTATTTCAATTCTGTCAATAATTTTTTTTTCAGCATCAAAACAGTCGCAAAGAGAGGTTACATAATCTTCAAGGCACGTGTCCTGGGCAAGGAATGACTGCCCTCAAAATGTTCCAAATGGCGAAAATGCCCTGAATTTCACCGAATTTATGATTCAATACATGAAGATTTCATTCAACTCAACTTCTCTTCGTTTTACCTGCATATGGCGAACTGGAGTGGGAAGAGCATGGCTGATGGCCCTGTGCTTTGCTTTGGTTTTGGTTTTTAAGAGAGCAATTATGTCTATTATTGTCTATTATGAGTTATTATGTCTGTTAAGCAAAATTCGCGATGGAAACTCATCGAAGCAGTTTTAGGCGAATTAAAGAAGGATATTAATTAGAATGATGCGGTTATGATACAGAAATCAATCACGATATATTCACCCGCATTAAATTCCGCATGTAACATCTATCAATTACAATCATCAAGTAAGGGGGCATATGAAAGAGGACGATTGCAATAGAATAATTACCCATATCCGTGCAGGTGGGGATATCGCAATATTCCCATGGAACATGATTGTCCATGACGAAACACCATGGCCTCTCCCTTCCGGATGGGTTGCGGCAGTAGTTCTTGTGAGACCAGGTATCAAGGTTGGAGAAGTGGTCAGAATATGTGACGTTTTTGAGAGAGCCATCAGAAAAGGTGACGTTTATGAGAAAATCCTTGGGTGTTCCGTAGGGCTGAGTGTCCCATCTTAGACACTCCTTTCCAGATTCCGTCTTACTTATTTTCCCAATGTATTCTCTTCCCTTCTTTGTCAACCGGCACTCTGGATACTTATGCAGCGGCTCACCTAGAAATTATAAACGAATTGGGGAGAGTAACAATCAATGCAAACATATAGAACGCAATTTTATTTTCATCCAGATGAAATCGCTAACTTCATTGTCGCTCACTTTCTCGGAAATAGCGCTCACCTTTTCAAATGCATCCTTCGAAACTCGTTTTGTAATATACATTTCCTCCAGCTAATAAAGATCTTGAAACATATGCAATCCAGCGCTTTTCTGTTGACCTGTCTGTTGCTTTCGATGGTAACCCATCGCCAGATCTTTCGCATTTCATCAGTTTTGAACCATCACTGAGAAGAAAAAGGGCCCTACCACCGTTACGTGCCCATAGACGAATAATTTATGTCGATCTATGTAATCAACTGTTTACTTTGGGACAAACATTCTTAACAATTGAGTGTACATGTTTGATCGCATAACATTGAGTTCGACGTTCTTACAGGTAATGGTGCCTTCCTTGAAGGTGCTGCACCAAGTATCAGGAAATACAGAAGAGCATTCAGCCGTGTGGAATTGAGAACCATCGGAGAATCCTTTGGGATGCTGACAGCGGAGAATCACCCTTCCACCCGGTGGAGCTGGGTATTCTCCGCTCCAATCCTCAAAGGATATGGAAGCGTTCTGAATCTTTGGATGTTCTGTCAGGCACAGTCCTGCGTGTGGAACAGACGGAATTTATCTCCCTAATCAACTTCTCAAATGTATTTCAAATCGATGACTCACTCTGAACATAGGAAGTAAATCCGTCCGTTTCCACGAGGCCACTTTTCCCATTGAAAACCAATTGGCACGAACCATCGGATTCATGATAGTTGAAGGCATAGCAGGGGGGTTTCTGAAGACGGCATCTTTTGGTGCAAGCTCCGAATTTAGTTTCTTTTGTTTCAAAGGTGAAATTGTCGTATTTCTTCCCTGGATGTACATGATGATGGACAATAACACCAGTGGAGATCACATCGTGTAAGCAGGAATAGAAGAAAGAGATGATGACCACCGCCTTCGCTCCACGGGAGGAGAGAAGTTCCATGGTCATGGCATATATTCCAAGGAACGGAATGAGCTAGGTTGTATACGTGGCACAGGCTGACGAGCATCGATCACTTCTACAGAGACCAAGTCAAACATTCGTTTAATGGACTTTTTTGGGATTGAGTGCACCTGAGTGTGTTGGCCTTGTAAGAAAACTCTCCTAAGATAATCATTTTGGAAATGCGTAGAGCCATGGAGCTTTGAACTCCCTACCCCTCTCATTTTAAAAGTATGCAGTTCCTGAAAAATGACACGTTCCAATTTCGATCCTTTTCATTGGAGGTGTGATTTGGTTGAAAGGGAAGTAAAATATGGAGTAACAAAATAGCTTCATTATTTGCCTGGGCTGTCCTGTTTTCGATTAATCTCTGAAGGGTGTTACCTTGTTGTTCATGTTGATCCCATGAATCATAATGAAATCGCTAGTCATGACGGTCATGACGTTAATGACATTTGCCCTGGAAAACCTTACATTCCAATGCCACTTTTTCCTCAACTCTCAAGAGGGAATCCTTAGTACATGTTACTGGCATGGGTTGGCTGGGCTGGCCGCAGTTGCTTTCCAACCGCGTGCGTAACGCTGTTGGAAAAGCAATTGCGTGGATCGAAATTTTCCTCGGGCAACAGTGACTGACTTCGGTGTTATTTGGACTTACTCTTACCATACCACCTGAGCTTTTAAATTCTCTAATTTGGATTAAAATCTTTGGAGGCTCTTTTGACATAATGCAAGAGAAATGTCATATCTGCACCGACTTCAATTCATGCTGGAACCTAGCCCTAGGTTTTCTGCATTGCGGGACGAGAGAAAAACACCTTTTTATTCATTCTTCAGAGAAATTCCTTTAGTCCAGTGAATCTAGTATCACGTATAAACAGGCGAGATGTATGTAAAATTCATAAGATACGTTTATTTTCCCTCTCCAACCTGATCGATGCTGTTTATCTCATTAAGTTTTTAGGCAGCTGGTTAGTGCTTCATTTATTCATGTCTTAATCTCTCGTACTTTGAAAAAGTTCATCTATGAGCTGAGACAACCCCGCATTTGCCTCTTAACGTGACTCTGCCAGCGCTTCACTGGGCACAACGGTCCAATGCAGAACTGATGGCATCGTCCCAAAACACTGTCTGGGGGATTTGCTCAAATTTTACCAGCGACACGAATCAGTCACACGTTCTAGCGCAAACTGCTAATGTGGTGTCAGACCAAGCGTGAACTCTGCAAAGACGTTCCGAAGAAAGATAAAGCAGCTGCAGTACGATGGTTCGTGACGAATAAAAAGAAATCAGGACAGTTATGCTATGACATGCATTTGCTATCATTGGATCGCAGATCTTAAGCACACAATTTTTTTTTGGGGGGGGGGAGTGGGTCGACATCAAGCATTTGGGTTTCTCGCTCATCGGGAATGAGTAAAAACTATTGTATGAAAGACATTTCTACCGCATGAGGGACCTTAGCCTTCTGCCATGCTCTGCATCCCGGTTCTGCAGGCCTCATACTCAATTTTTTTCCTTGATCTTTCTCATTTGAAGTAAGATCCTTATTTTCAGGTGAAAAAAAATGAACGTTGTAGAGTCGCGCAATTCTTCATCTCTCTCTCCCAGTCTTTAATTTTGCACGTTTTACATTAGCAAGGCATAGACACTTGGTGTATGCGTGTCCGAGCAACCAGGGCAAGATCATTATTTCCCCCATATGCATTGCTCGCTTAGCCCTGTGATGCCTTGAGTAATATTTTTGCTGACGAGGAACTTTCATCCCTCACTCACTGCGAAGGAACGTATCTACCAGGATTAGATTTTCTATACAGGAGTAAATGATTATCGTATACCTTGTAAGTTTCGCCGAGCCGAAAACACTACCTTTCCTCAGGATTACTCGATGGAAATCCACAATCACTTTGGTACAGTAAACCCTCAAATACCCCACCTTGGTACAGTCCTCAAATCATTCGCAATTTGGGAAATATAACGTATACTCTGTATTGACGTACTTTTCATCCGTTTCTGATATCCCGTTCGACAAAAAGAAACAGAGCTGTGGGGTATCCCCTCCTCATAAGAGGGAAAACCGCGGAGGATCCAAGGTCCCATTCGAGGCAGAGGTACGCATGGGCCTCTTCCTCCTTCGCCCATGCTCCCTCCATGGAAGGCCTCATGCCCTTTACGCGCTGGCATTGCAGGAAGACGGAAAGAGCAAATAACGAATGGAAAATACTCCTTATTGGGAGTCTGGGTTCTTTCCATTATGGGTTCTCGTTCTCGGAACTTCGTACGTACGTATTTCTTAGGCTTGAGTGTGCTAAGAAATACTGTTTATACAACATACACGTGAATGATATCCCAGAAAACTTGCACACGTGCTCTATGTTCCAATACACTGATGCCATAGCTCTATTGTACAGTGACCAAACCGAAATCAAGAACAGATCAGGAACAGTATCCAAAGGAATGGAAGAGGTCGGGTATATCACCCAGTCCCCTGTGCTTTTCCCCATCCCCATGAGGAATGCCGGCTTTCGGCGTCGCAGATGCGGAACCCATTGAGGAACGAATGCAACATTCAGGGAAATTGTAGGTCAATTAGCTCTGATCAATTCGACACTCGGAGTTTTTAAAATTGGGAAGTTTTCCGCCAGAATGATGAGAGTGAGGGTTCGCTCACTATGCGCTCGGCTGAGGATTCCGCAGGCGTCCTTGCGATTCGCTCTCTCGATATTCCGGACTACCCAGAACACTCATCCCCACGCGTCATATGCCAACCGCCGACAGAATCTCTGCGAAAGGAACGCCGCGGATTTTCCTCCTCCCTTGCCGAAAGTGACAGTTTCGTTCTGTCTCTCCGTGATTCTCTGCTCCGACGATCCGCAAGCACCGTCGAAATGTCTCCCTGTCGGTTCAGACGTATCACTCACCCGAATCATTTAATCCCGCCCCCTGGTTTCAGTCAATCCGTCGGGATGGGGCAGTGAATTCCATTCCATGCCAGTTTCTGTTTAAGGTTGCTCTACGGGTTGCTCAGGCAACTTGCAGAAATGCGAAGAGTTGGTGGAACGACAACGATGAGTGGCGAAAGTCACTTTCACGCATAGCATTTTTGAAGACTCGGGATCAAAAGAGGATGAACTTGACCTTCATTCCTCGACCAACAGATGTCACCCACACCGAAGCGTGCTCCGGCGTCTCCCTTCCCCCGATGGCAAAGCAGAGACACGTCGTCCGGCAGTCGCCCTGCGCCGACCGCCGCGTGGAGTCGCTCCCTCCGGATTGGGCGCCCCGAGCGACGTTGCCCTCGAAGGACCGGGGCCTCACCGAGGACGTCTGTTCTACCTGAGTGTCTGCGCCGAGTCTCACCGGTCCCGCCTTGGAATCTCGAATCGGCGATTCTAACCACTTAAAATGGAATGTCATCTTCAGAAAGACTTGGAAGTGCAGTGTCATTCCCGACATCTTGCACCGACGTTCAACATCTATCAATAAGAAATTACCATACGATGTCGAAGGCACGCTCGAAGAAATCTTTGCCTCCGGACCTCGGATTGAGGGCTCTGTTGCCTTTGGGACTGACGTTGAAGTAAGCTCGTTCGATCCCGATTTCAGGCGTCGTTTCTCGTATTATAGCTTTTCTAACAAACGGAAGTCAAATGCGACCAAGGAAGGTCGCTGTGCTGGATGCCAGACTTTAGGGAAAAGCTTGTTCGACATAAGAAAATCAAATGTGACAGTTAAATTTCTCAGTCGTGCCAGGAGACTTGTTCTCTCTCGGATTTTCATTCTTGTTACTAACGTCTCTTTATGAAAATTCACGAATCATCGTTCATTGTACTGGCGATCTTTTCATGCCAGATCATGCCAGATAATGGAAGTTGTTGACTATAGCCAAGCATGTCGATATGCTGTCAGTATCAGAGTAGGCCCTTGGACTCTGTCATAAAAAAAATTGCGGAAGGAGCAGATTTGAGCATTGTATCATGAGTCTCACATTTGAATTGCATGAGAAGTTTGATCTATTTCCATGAATTTTGGATTCCATTGGATACTACCTATAGTTTTTCCTCTCATGGATTGAAATCAAACATTGTATACATGATAATTGGAGTAGTGAGACCGCATGCACTTACACTTGCGAATTTGCATTTTAAAAATATTTTTGGCTACGGAAATGCGCGGAGAGAGGGCTTCTCTCTTGGAGCACAACCAAGAGACAAGGCCTCAAGTC